ATTTGTAGGTATTAAACATTTCTGCAAAGAAACTGAAATTTATAACTGTTGCTGTTTCTGAACACTTGAACAGTGCTGCCTTGCTATTTTTGCAGTTGTTAAATAAACTTTTAAGATTTATTTTTGTGGTCCAGGATCAAACAGATTATAATAGCTAATAGGCAAGCAATCTATTACATAAACTTTTCAGTTATTTGATAATTTCAGAAATGATTAAGAATAGCCGATAAAGATTTCACTTTATTCTTCTTTCAAAAGTGTAAAAAGTATGAAGAAGCTAATCAAAAGATGACACAAAATATGGATCTAATTTGATTAGCTATGCAGTGATAAAATATAAATCTCACCAATTCATAACTTATAGATCGTTTTCCTTTCATTTATGAAGTAATCATTAAGGGCAAAAATTTTTTAATAACAAAGCTCATTATTAGGAGATATATATATATTATTTTGTCGCAAAATGTGCACAAACATTTTTGAAACTTTCCCCGCGAAGAAGTATGATTACAACAGGGAAGAATTGTCATTGATCGTGGCCTTTGTCTCCCTTCTATCTCCTTTGCTGGTGTATTTTTTTTTTTTTTTTTTTTTTTTTTGTGATTGAAAGATGGCGCCGTCAGTCTATATTTCCAGTTGAAAGCGAAATGAACCATCCAAAACATTTTGTATCGAATAGACAAGCTAGGAAAAATAACAAATCAAATTGGGATCTATCTATTCGGCAAAAATTCTTTGACAAAAAATGATAGGCTATTGAGAGAGGTACGCGTGCTGCACAATAAAAACATTTTTGTTCCTAGAATTTGAACATTTACCGCATTTTATAAAGAAAACATGAAAGATGAGATATTATCAGTGATAAGAGAAATGAAATGAGCTGTCAATGATAAATGTATGATTCGGTTGCAATTTGATTAAAGTAAGAATACACCCCATAAATTGAAGCCATAAATGAGACAGATAAAATGAGATATTATTTTAATGAGCATTGATTGATAATTTAACACCAGGAAATAACTACCAAACAGATCGTTATCATTTCAAGTTAAACAAGTTTTGTGATAACCTCGAATACTATAGCATTACACTGATGAACCTTTCACCCTTTTTGGTTGTCATTTTTTTTTTTTTTTTTTTCGCAATCATTTCAAATATTTGCTGTGAATTTTTCAATAAAGATAAAAAATTGTAGGAAACTAGAAAACATTGAATAACAGGAAAAGCAGGAATTTCTCTCTAAAACAATACTTTCTAATAGCTAACAAAAAAAAAAAAAAAAAAAAAAGAAAATTATCCTAAAAAAAAAAAACTTTTCCGGACAAAAAAAAAACGAAAATTTTATGTTAAATTATTTGAGCATTACAGCAAATAAGAATCATTTATAAATTTAAACAAATATAAATCACTGAAAATAAAAACGAAACAGCTCTTAATTTTTGAATAGTTTAAAGAAAAAAAAAAAGTAAAAAATAAATTTGCAATTAGACGAGTAATACACGTGTTGCTAAACGTTAACATATATTTGCTCAATGTTGATTTCACGTTTGCCCAAAATTTCATTTTTTTTTTTGATATCAATCTGATGATTATCACTAAAAACTGGTTCTAATTTTATCCTAATTTTGATCTATTCCTCTTTATCAATATCACTATTATATTACAAGAATAATATTTTCATATTAAATTTTGGCCAAAATTTTTTCTGCTAATTTTAATCTAACACATCTCTATCCAATCCTCTTTTGTAGCAATAAATCCTTCTAAAGGGTACTTCTTCTGCTTATCCTTGGCTAGCTAGACGTCACCGTCTGTCCTATTATTGTTGTCCTCTTATACCATTCATTATAGCTTAGGTTTCATATCAAAAATGCAAATTAACCTGGAACGGATATGATGGTGGACAAGGGGACAATGAAATAAAGAATCGATGACACACAGTCATCCATCCATCCATCCATCCATCCATCCATCCATCCTTTTCTTCACATTGCCAACAGTATCTAAGAAGAAAAGTAGCCGTCTGTAGTGCGATCCCCAAATGAGCAATCCGTTGTTGTCGTTGTCGTTGTCATCGATTCTTTTATTCCATTCTTTTCTATCAATTTTCGATCGATATGATAAAAATGCAATTTGATATCAGTTCAGCTAGATTTGATAATATCAGAATATCAATTCAAAAAAGTTTATTTTTATCACTCAATAGCCATCATCCATTGTCAATGTGATGAAGAAATATATCAATAATGTTTGATGTGTAATTTAATATTTCACTATTGATTATGATATCATTTATCAGTTTTTCAAAGTTAAAAATGATGCATAATTAGATTGGATTAAATAATTAACTCTTCTCTTAATGCATTAAAAATTTTAATTCCATTTTTTGAATAGAAATTTCCTGAAATTTTTTTTTTTTTTTTTTTGCTTAAATCAATAATTGTAAGTGGAAAACATAAATTTTGTACGTGCTGAAGTGATGAACAATAAATTGAAAAGATTTTTAATCGTTAACTATCTTTTCTTTTTTTTTTTTTTTCCTTGTTGTCTTTTGCGTTAATAATTCATTGCAGTCATCTGCTGCATTTCGTTGTCCCATCATATTCATCAAATTTTTTTGTTTTATTATTTTTTGCTCTAATTTTTTAAAATAAAATTTGAAATTAATTAAGCATTAAACAATATTTGTTAATTTATGAAAGTTTATCTATCAAGTATCTTACTGATATCGTAAGTACAAAAATTTCTTCTATTATTATCTTAAATATTATGGATTTATTTAATTTGATTTAAAAAAAAAAAAAAAAAAAAACTATTAAAACAATAATATCAGTTCAAAAACTATGCCATATTATTATCTTAAATATTATGGATTTATTTAATTTAATTTGAAAAAAAAAAAAAAACTATTAAAATAACAATATCAGTTCAAAAACTATGCCATATTATTATCTTAAATATTATGGATTTATTTAATTTAATTTAAAAAAAAAAAAAACTATTAAAATAACAATATCAGTTCAAAAACTATGCCATATTATTATCTTAAATATTATGGATTTATTTAATTTGATTTAAAAAAAAAAAAAAACTATTAAAACAATAATATCAGTTCAAAAACTATGCCATATTATTATCTTAAATATTATGGATTTATTTAATTTAATTTAAAAAAAAAACTATTAAAATAACAATATCAGTTCAAAAACTATGCCATATTATTATCTTAAACATTATGGATTTATTTAATTTGATTTAAAAAAAAAAAAAAAAAAAAAACTATTAAAACAACAATATCAGTTCAAAAACTATGCTATAAATAAACAGAATTGCAAATAATAAATTCTGATTTGAATTTTGTGGAAAAATTTAAACATTAAATTTATCAATGAAATCTTAAGCAACTTTTTATCATTGTTATCATTCATTCTTTTCATTTTTTTCTTTCTCTTTTTTCTTTGCTCAATACTTTAACCATTTAATGATTAAAAGTTTTTTTTTTTTAAAGATATATTTTCAAAATTATATAATTTCTATCATTTTCTTCTCATTGATTTACTTCATTCTTTCGTTATACATCCATCCCATTCCACTCAATCTTGAATGCAATATTTTTTTGCCTGCATCTTTTAGCATCATTTTCTCACCATTAACAGCACCCGATTGATTATCACTATCATCCACCAAACACATGCATCTATCCATTTGGTTGAACTAACCAATGAACCATTTTGTATGTCCCAAGAAAAAAAAAAAAAAAAAAAAAAAAGGGAAAAAAAAAAAACGGTAGAACGGATTTGTATACAGCAAATGGTCGTTGTTCCAATGTCAAGGACGACGTCCCTTTGAAATTTCTTCTTCTAATTCATTTTCCTTTTTTTTTCTACTTTAAACTTTTACACATTTTTGGAAAATTTTAACTTTTTTAATGAATTACGCAAGTTAAACTTTAATTTGTTCTTAATTTTAAATAATCGAAACTTCAGATGGCGAAAGATGACAATCAGAATGACAATGATGCAAGATGATAATGATAATCTGTTTGTGTTTACAAGCAAAATAATCTTCTTCTTCTTCTTCAGGTTTAATCTCTCACTTATTTCTTTCAACTATTCGAATAATCAGAATTTGATTTTATTTCAACTTATACTGTAATTTAATTGTATTACTCATTTTGTAATACAATAAAAGATGGCTATTTTATTTATCATTTCGTCTGTTTTGTCGTTAACCTCATAATATTCAAATAAACGATATAACTTACAATCGTTTATGATCTAATTGCAGTAATAGATATACAAATATTTATATGTCATCGATCTGATCGTTTCTTAATAGAGAGGTCCAAGAATTGTATTTATATTTGTTTTACATTGAGTCTTATATCATAAGTGAATTTAAATAGTCTTTTAAAAAAAGTTGAGTTTGAGGAATTATTCAAAAGAGAAAGTTTCCCCTTCGTGCTTTTTCATTCAATTATATCTGTCAGAATTATTGCTTTTATGTGTCACTTTTTTCCTGCAATGAGAATTCGATTAAAGGCTTAAAAAAAAAAAAAAAAAAAAAGAGCGCTTAAACGATAGCATAATAGCAAATAATGGAATAATTTTTGTAACTTCAGGAATTTCCTTCCTCATTCCTGTACAGTTTACTATTCCGGAAATAATAACTACGGTTACTTTCTGTTAATTGATGACTTATATGAAAGACACTATCTTATCATTAACATTCAACTTGTTGCCTAATTGCGATGCAATGGAAATGAGATTGAATTTGAGTTTTTCCCCCCTATAATAGCTATTCATAGACTTATTTAATTATTTGTCACTCATTCAATTTCTATATAACCAAACTTTTCTTTTTTGCTTTTTTTTTTTTTTTCTTCAAATAATAAAAATTGAATATGATGAGTTTACATTCTTAATTTGTTACAAATAAGCATTGTTAAAATGAGAAGAATGAAAGAGAGGACAGATGGACAATGAATGTAATAAATTTGTATGATTGATATTGGTGGCGCTATTGTTGTTGCTAGTACTACTACTACCATCACCGCCACCACCACTGCTGCTGCCGCTGCTGCTGCTGCTGCTGCTGCTGCTGCTGCTGCTGCTGCTGCTGATGTTGTTATGGCTGTGGTGGTGATGTTGGTGATGAGGTTCGGGTCGTAATCCAATTGCAATCCTCATTTATGACCGATTCTCTCTCTCTCTCTCTCTCTCTCTCTCTTTGCTGTTCCATATAAAACATTTCTTTTCAATCAGTTAGCTATTCGAATTGGACATCTTTGTATGCTTCCTATTAAAATCATTGGAAAAGGAAACGTTTGTGTTTGTATTTATACCTCTGTTCATTGAGATTATTTTATTGTTTAATCTTACATATAAATTTCAGTTGACAATAATTTAAGTATTTCATACAGAAAACAGGAAGAAATTGAAATTTTTTAGCCTTATCGAGAAAATTTCATAAAAATTTTCTGGAAAATTCTGCAGGTAGATATAAACAAAATGCATAATTGTCATAATCTCATGAATGCTTGTCCTTTCTCCCTTTCTCTCTTTCTTCTATTTTTCTTTTCTTACTTTCTTAATCGGTATGCTTTTCCAGTTGGATTATAACTGCAGGCATTGTAGTCTGTCATCTGTCACCTGTCACCTGTCACACATTTATTATACCATTCATTGATAACTGTTAATGAGTTATTATAACGATTATTCATATATTTATATGACGCTTATTTAAACGAATGTTTTTTTTTTTTTAATTAATTGAATTTGTTGAATAATTTTTATGGCATCTGAGCTGTAAAAATTGTCAAGCACATTTTTTTTTTTTTTTAATATTCTTTTATCTCCTTTTAGTCCTTAGTCTTCTAGAATTTTAGTTTCATTTCCATTTGAAATTTTTAAATTTGAATTTGGCTTTTTTTTTCGCAGATAAATTTTAAAAATTACCAGGATTTCATTATGGATTCAGTTTTGATATTATTTGTATGCTTTTTCATTTTACTGAAAATTTTGCTGAATTTTTGACTGTAAAAGTTTCCCAAGTAATTTCTCCCTGTCATTTTATCGCATAATTTCGATATGTGCTTTTTGCATATAATAATAATGAGAATTAAAGATTTTCAAATAATAACCACTAATTGGTTCCTTTGCTATTAATTATTTATGTCTATGGACGAAATGTTGTGTGCTTATTAATGAATATATATATAATATAACCTTTTTCATAGTTTAATTTTATTTCCTAAAATGTATGCATGATTGGTTGATTGATTCATTCATTCTCCGTTAGATCTTTAGTTTATTACCGTAGAGGGGAGAGTATTTCTTGGTTTTCCATATCTTTGTTAACAATTAAACAGACGTCGTTTTAGTGAGGTCATCGTTGACAATTAAGCAATCATCATCATTTTTGCATAGTAATCAGTTTCGATAGACGACAATATCTAATATGTGCTGATTGTTGCTCCTCAAATACTATGCTGTTTCCGTCCTATTTCAATTATATGAACCAGTGGGTTCGGTTCATTAAGCCATAGATGAAATTTTCTAAATTAATTCTTCCTCAACAGTTCCCCCCCAAAAAATTCAATATAAAACGATTATATATATATATAAAACAGTTTACTTCCTATCATCCCAGTTAATTAAACTAAACTGTCATAACTTTCCGTGTCAAATGTCAATGTGCAGCAAATAATTAGGTTGTCTAGAAGGTAGCATTGATTCCTCAGATATCAAGTGAAGTGACCTCATTAAACTAAACTAGACATAGTAAGAAGACCTAAGAGTTTTCTGTAATCATAAGAGCTGATAGATTTTGTGTGCTTAATTAGGTGTGATCATTTTATGTGAAACATAATAAAACTGTATTCCTGTTGCTTTCTTCTTAATTTGCATATCTCTGTTTACCAACTATTTTCTCTCTTTTATTTTGTAAATAGTTACTCTAATTTGTAACATTGAATGACATTTCGGGTAAATTAGTGAGAAAGTGCGGATGAAATATTTACAGTCATGGACTGAAAGATATGAAGGCCTGAACAAAAATAATGAATTAATAAATTGTATATGTGGGTTGTAATTATATTCGAGTGAATACTATCTCATCAATGATAATAAGTGCGCGAATGCAATTATCTCGAATTCATGCATGCATTGAAGTTAGTAGTGCATGCTTATAAACTATGCAAAATGCATTGTCAACACAACAATATAATGCGATCAGACAAGAAGCAGCAGCAACAGGTGGTGGTAAAATTAGTTTTCGGAGTTTCATACATCTACTGAAACTGTCAATTGCTGGTTGTTGATCAGAGTTCGATTATTCATTTTAATCACTGCTGGTTGATTTAAATAGAAGTAGTGAAAACCTTCTTTTCTCTTTTCTTTTCTTTTTTTTTTTTTTTTTTTTGTTTGACTGGTCATCATTAGATTGTTCGGTTTAGTAAACACTTTTCCTGATCTTATTGATGTTACCGATTGTAGGCAATTAAGAAGGAAAAAAAAAGAAATGGATTGAAAAGGCTGATAGGATGACAGGTGAAACTTTATGAAATGAATGCATACTCATTTATCATTTATTGAATTGTTTATTCATTGATCATTAATTGATATAGGGATGCTTTGATATTATCTTTATTTCAAATTTATAAAGATTGAAGTTTAAATAATAACAAATTAACTAGTTAGTATTTGATATTTTCATTGAGAAATTAACTCAAGGTTTTACTACTATTTATCATTTTGACTTTTTTTTTTTTCCATCTAGGTATCTATTAACTATTACTGAATCAATTTATAGATATTTTATTAACCTTAAATTAGAATGTCCACAAAACTTTTGTACTCTAGATTGAGTGTTTTCATTTGACTATTATAAATAACAAACAATACCATAATAGAAACATCACTTCGAAAGCATTTGGTAAATTTTTGGAGTGTTTTAGAGAAAGTATGTGTGAGTGAATGGTGTGCTTAAAGCTTGTTGACCAAAGGTCGTCGTTGCTTTCTAGTACTACAACCAATCGCTCATCGTCATCACAATGTTGTCACGATAGTGAAGTGAGTGATACTGGTGATGTGAGCAGAGAGATGGATGATGAGATGGGATGGAAAGGAAAGGAATGGAAGGACGTTATCGCCGGAACATCACTCTTTTCCTGTCCGTCTCCATTCGTCGTAAAGGGTACTCTCCGACTGACTATTACTGCTTTTACAATTTCTTCGTATATAAATTTCGTTTAAAAGATTACGTTACGTGGAGTGAAATGTCAGCTACAATATTCTTTTTTTTTTTTTTTTTTTGTAAAAATATTAAAAGCATAGAAAAAAAGATCAAAAATTAAAGGCCTAGAAAAAAAAAAACGAAACCAAAAATTAAAGGCCTAGAAAAGAAGACAAGGCCAAGAAGGACGATCTATCTTATTCATTCAATTGCAATAATCGTGGAAATTTTCACTGCCTAGGCTAATGGTTATTAAAATTGCCACTAGCTTATTTATAGTGCTCCTATCCTGGACGAATAAAATTTCCCTAATTTTCATGAGAAAATTGTATTTGTTCAAGTCAAATTCATATATAATGAAGTTCCGCACGGTGATATAATTAATTATTGATCGATGTCAATTTTGGGACTATTTATTTTTGAAATTATATGTAAATTTAAATACATTTATAAAGATATTTGAAGTATTAAGTGGAATTTAACGTTCAAACATGCGTTAATATTTAAATGGATGCCTAATTAAATGATTTTGAATAATTTTCATCAAAAGGTTATTTAAGACCACCAACCCGGATATTAAACTCCGTTTAATACTTTCGAAAATCAGTGATATATGTAAGAAAGAGTACAAAAAGGTTGGGGACATTGAAATGGAGGCAAAGGCGAGAAAGGAAGTACTTTCTTTTTTTTTTTTTGGAAGCACAAATTGATTAAAAGTGATAAATTAAATGAATAATTTCAAAAACGACCATGAAATTTTCTTTCATCTCTCTTAAACCTTAACACTATTACAACAGAGAATTTACCGCTAGCAAAAAGTTGTAAATTTGTCAAATGTTAAAACATTTCGCTGATAAGCTATACACTGCAAAAATGATATTGATCAATTCTAACGATGGTGATATCAATACATAAAACGATTACTTATCATAAACAAATACTTTTTGCACCAAATATACTTATATTCACGTTTATATTCGGATACTGATATCTTTTTTCACATATTTTCCATCCATCGTAATTAATATCAATTGGAAACTTCTCCTAATTTCATCAATTTTACAATTTTTTCTCATGAACATTGCGGTTTCTTTTTTTTTTTTCCTTTCAAATCACTTTCAAAAAGATATTTCTGTTTCCGTTCGTGTGTTTTGTTTCCGCTATTCTTTTCGTTCAGCTTTTTTTTTTCCGCTGCCCCACTTCATTTTTTTTTTTTTTTCTTTTTTTAATTTATTTCTATTAACAAAATGAACAGTTAAAACTACGGTAGAAAAACACCTGGCCTTAGCAGTTTTAATTTAAATAAAGAATAGAATATTATGACGTACATTAATAACGGATATGCGCATTTTGCAAGAAAATATTTTGGGGTAATAATAATTTGATTTTGATGGATAATTTTGCTTATTATAAGTTTTACTTAAAATTTATTACTATAAAATAAGTATTTTTAATTCTTTGTTAATTAACAAAGACTATATATTTCATGGCCAAGAAGATTATCAAAAAAGGTATCAGAGAAAAGTATAACTCTTTTTTTTTTTTTTTTTCAAAAACGAAAATTCTTTTTTGGATTGTGTCTATTTTTTTTTTTTTTTTTTTCAAAGAAAAAGAGAAAATATTGCTTGGCTATTTGTTTTCTGGTTATTTTCTTTTTAAGCTACAATTTTTTTACCTAATTCCAAAGAATTTTCTATATTTATTGTAAGTTACAATAAACCACTGAAAGCTTTGTATTTCTTTGAAATTATCAAAATTATCGATCTAATATCTCTTCCTATCATATGAATTTTGTCTTACAATCTTTGATTAATTGGTTTAAGAAATTGCGCTGTTGGCCTAGGATGTTTTAGGCGTATTATAAATGCATTTCTCCGCTTGTCTATACTGCAATATCTTTTTCACATTTTCTCTTCTATTGGCTGAAGTTTTTTTCTTTTTTCTTTTTTTTTTTTTTTTTTAATCTCTATATTCTTAATTGTCCCATTTATTTCCGACAGCTTTCCAATTTATTTAAAAATTTGTTCCAATTTTATTGAAGTTAGTATGCCTTTTTTCTAACCTTTTGAAATTTAATTATATTTTCGTTCGAATTTACATAAAATTATAAAATGATATTTGAAGATTTTTTTTTTTTTTTTTTAATTGATAAGATATAAATATTCCTCATTATAATACAAAAAAAAAAAAAAGATCCATACATATCGTATTATGAAGTTAATTTTGAATGGTTGGGATTTTTCGAAGATGAACTTTTTTTCAGGTAGTGATGAAAAAGATAGAAGATTGAAGGTATATCGAGTTATTCTTAACATTTATGTTATGTATTGCTAGGTGAGATGTGAGGACTGAGAAATATCGGACAAATCCGAAAAAGAGTACCGGTAGTGAAGGAAGATATCACATCTTTGGATCGTTTAAATTAAAAAAAAAAAAATATGTATTACTTCAGTCATATGTATGATATTAACACTGTAATAAGGAGAAGAGAAGAGAACCGGTACTTTGGAATTAAATTTCCGCTTTAATTTGAAATGTGAAAATGAAAAATGAACAAGAAAATTTTGCTACAATTTACAAATCTTTTTCTGAGATTTCTTCTAATCGATCTTTATCAACAATAATTTACTGTTTGGCTTTTTTATCTTTAGATAAGAAATGTTTGGAGAGAATGATTACCTCGAGAAACTTGTCATTCCTACAGACTCTGACATATGATTGGTATCAAGTGTATAGAAATTTTCAGGAAATTTTTTCCGAGTTTTTCTAGATATTCCGGATAAAGATTATTGAAGTCACAGAAAACCAAACAAAATCATTCATTCAATCATTTTTTGGCTGCTGAATGTTTTATGAGCAGACGCTTGCTTAGAAAGAGAAAGAATAGCTCATAGGAAGATAGAGGATCGAGAATCGAGATGGATTATATACTGAAGATTGTTTTAAACCAGACTAGTCATACACCTCACCTCACTTCACCTCAGTTCTTTTTAGGTTTTCTCGAGATGAATCTTCTCGCTGATGATACTTTGATCAGTGCCGCATCGATCATTTCAATCAATCGTAGCTATCTATGATTTAAATTATCCCACTTTAGTACTCAAATCCTTCCACTTTTCTTACCTGGACCTTCTATGATACCAGGTGGGATAACTGATCGGTTAGGTGCTGGCTTGTCCCTCGACTGTCATTAAGAGTTCACTTTGAGGACACTGTTCCCAACTTTCCACTGTATGTCCGTCTATGTCATTCCTTGTAATGTCTGCTTCTCTCTGCCATTCATGTTATTTAAATGCATTTCTTCTTTTCTTCATGTCTCTTTGGTTAGTCTGCCGTCTGCATGTGAAGTGGTAATTTATGACACTTTAAAAAGATGTTGTAGTTGCTGATGCTTCAAAATTAATTGTCAAAATTCCACAATATTTCATTTCATTCCATTAAATTACGTGAGTGACGCTATAAGTGATATCGAGATACATTGAGTTACGTGAGTGACGTTATAAGTGATATCGAGATACATTGAGTTACGTGAGTGACGCTATAAGTGATATCGAGATACATTGAGTTACGTGAGTGACATTATAAGTGATATCGAGATACATTGAGTTACGTGAGTGACGTTATAAGTGGTATCGAAATACATTGAGTTACGTGAGTGACGCTATAAGTGACGTTGAGGTATTTCATATAAGTGGAAATGATGAGATGTAATTGTTGTGAATTCCTTAGCATAGCATGGCCATTCCCATTGATAAGAAAGAATCCTTTCCATTTCTTGACCTTTTATTCCAACCACTTTTTTCTGTCTTACGACCTTTTATTCTCGTTTCGAATTTCCTTATTTCAAGATTTAAAGATTTCTTGAGAAGAGGAGGATAGAAGAAAGAGAAGTTATAAGAGTATGTGCAGTTCATTTTTCATTAACTTAGTTCACCCATTTTTTTTTTATCTTAGCTTAGAATTTAATTCAAAATAGTCTCTATCTGTGAAATTATCTCTTTTCTTCACTTCATTTGTTATCCACAATAAAGCTATCTTGGTGTAGTATTTCATTCCTTACAGTATTTCTGATTACTTATATTGATATAAGTAATTTTGAATGATTCGTTATTTAAGTGACGAAGTTGTACTTTTGAACTTTTCCAAAGACTAAATTTTGTTGAGATGTCAAGGGAATATGACGCAATTTGTGGGAGGAAGGGAGGAAGGCAATAAAGGGATATCAATGATCAGTAAAAGGATGTGACGTAGTGACGATTCTTTGCACTTTTGCTTCAACGAAGTCCAAAATTTTCAACAAATTCATTCCCACTAAACTATCACATTTAAATCTTTTCATTTCATTCCTTTTTTAAAATTATTTTTAATCTCTTTTCATACTTAATACATTGACTTGAAGTGCAAAACAATTTTTTCAATTATTACATCTAGTAAATTTTTTTGTTTTTTTTAAATGTTTTTATCAGTTATTCTCTCTTATTTTGTGTAATTAGGCGAGGAATGAGTCAAGTAGAAAATAATTTCTTGATAGTTTTGTGAAGTTCATTCTCGTTATCTCTTCCTTACAACTATATTTTTGATGTGTGAAGTCAGCCAGATTCTCTCTCATACTTTTAATACCGAATGTTATTCAGTCAACGGAGGAAGTTAAAAGATTTTTATTACTTCCACATTATTATCATCATCTGTTAGGTTAAGAAATTTGTTACTCATCGCTATCTTTTTAACAATTTTCTAGAAAATCATTTCCATTCCCTGAATTCATCTTTTCACTTTTCATTATTGACCTCTGAGATTTCTCCTTTGAACTTTGGAATACTACAGTGGTCGTCTTCTCTTTGTACAGCTTATTTATATTACTTTTCGTAGGAACGAATCGTAATATAAAAAGTGTGAACAGGATATTAACAGACATGAAATATCTACGAAGATTATATGGAATGAATCAGCAACTTTCCATAGGTAGCTCGCTTTCATACAAATTTTTAATCATCTACCATTACGTTTGTTTGTTGCGGTCACTCATTATGTTGTTGTTTACACAATTATTGTCACCAAGCTTTGTTTAATCTTTCTCTCTTCATTCTGGAGAAATACAATCATCCCCCGGTCATAGGTCATTGTTTTTGATTGTAAGCATATATATAGAGATACATTATGCATGTGTTTCTGTATATTTATGCATATATATATGTATGTACGCACACACATACACACACACATACACACACACACACACACATACATACACACAACATTTCTAGATAAGGAGTCAGGAAGCGAAAAGCGCTTATTTCAATGCGTTGCATCTATTCTTTCTACCCATGACCTTAGTATCTCTTCATCATTCCGTCTACATTCATTCACATCATTCCCGCTCTCTTCCCTTTTGCACATTTTGCGCCGCTTCTCCTTCACCTTTCTCTTTGCACTGTATGTATTTACTACAAAAATGTTTTCGTAGATTTTAGCATATTATATTATCTAATAAAATGACTGACATGTGACAAATATCATTAATTAATAGAGGAAGTGGACAGTGTTACTTAAATGATATTCCTGACTTGTCTTATTAATATATTTATGCTGTAAAATGTTGAATGGAAGCTATGCTAGAGCTTTTCACATGTTCAATTCTAATTCAATATGATTTGCTTTCAAATTGTTTTATAAAACATCTCAGTCAATCTTGCAACCAAATAGAAAGAGACAGAGAGAGAGAGGGAAGGAGAGGGGGAGAGGGAGAGATCGAATGCTAAAGTATACAGTTTAGGTGGTGAAAATTTTTTTCTGTAAAAGAAATAGCTCATTTGTAATTTTATTGGCTTTAGTATATGAGTTATTTCAGTGTTACTATTTAATCTCTTCTCATTTATCTGTGGTGCTGATTATTGTATGAATTTGAAATAATGTGTGAGTGGATCCTCCTAGATGACGCTTAATACCTTCTGTTGATAATTCATTCAGCAATATTATCAGTACTTGGATATCACTAACTGCAACAGAAATCATTCATTTCCCTGCTACCCTTTCCTTGCCTTACCTATTTCCGCACTTACCTTCCATGGCAACTATCTAATATCATCATCAAATCCATGAGGGAGGGAGGGTGAATATTGCTAATGCTCATGCTTCATATAATTTGCATATTCCTCTAATGTGTACCATTTGTCAGGTATTATTGCTGATTGCATTCAATTGGTGATAAAATAATGAGTGTTGACGGAAGTACTTCAACTATAGTATATACAACTACCATTGTAAATTGATACTTTTCTGTTGTAATTCCCGTAATTTTGTCATTGAATCAAACATTTTGAAACTTTGAGAGCTTGATGGATAATTTGACATTTTCTTGAAAGAATTATTTTTGCATTGACAGCATTACCGCATTTTCTTTTTTCTATTATTTTATGCGAAGCGGTGTATTCTTTTGTTTAAATTTAACTCCAAACGATCTTTTAAAATTGATTTATAGTTGGTAGGATGCTTGAGCAAGGTGTGACAGTATGTAGCAGTGGTAATAAACCGATTGGTATGGAATCAGCGAATATGTACTCGAAAATTGCTGAAGTAGTCACTACTGATGCTGTAAGTTCAAAAATTTTCGTTAAGAAAATTATATTGTTAAGAAATTAGTATGATTTTTGATTTGAAATACAAAGAGAAAAACTTTTTTATTTTCCGTGAAGGCTCTCGTTATAACAGCCTTATTTTCGATTTTACGTTGACATTTGATTTTTAATTGTATCCATTTCACTTCCTGATTACATTCGAATTCGAATTTCGGTAGCAAATATGAAGAAGCGAACAAAACCTTTAAAATTTCAAGACTAATTTATGTTGATCAGACTCTTTTCTAAATCTCTAATAATACTAGTTGTTTCTCTTTTTTTGGCCTTTCATCTTATCACGTGAATGAAAATTTTCCCTTAGATATTTAGAAAGTTTTGATAAGATTATATATTATAATAAATTAATTTTCTTATTTGATTAATTCAGCAGTATCGCTTTTGTTTTGGTCTTTTGCTTTTTTTTTTTTTTTCTAATACTTTTCCAAAATATAGTTTCTAATGATTGGTTTCCCAATCAGCAACTTAGTTGAATATTTTCAAGTGCTGAATTATTTTCAACAATACACTCCAAGTCTCAGTTTAAAAATTTTTCCTGCAACAGATAGGAATGTTTATTTGTTCCTCCCATGGATGTGCAGCGTTAAAATTTTGACGAAAGTATTTAGTAAACTAGTAATACTTTTCGAATTTGTTTGGTGTTATAGCAAGTATGTAAGCCTGTGTAAAAATTTTCTGAAGAATGTAAACTTCTTAGAATTATGAAAGAAAAGTAATTCAAATGGAACTGGCATATTGCAGGTGAGACAAGAAGTTGATTGGAAGTATTTAGCAGTGTTAATTTCTTTAAAATTTTTATCATATCCATCATTGATTAGGTATTTCTGCATTCAAACATGGCCACGAGGGAGATTGACAGATTAAACTTTTTATGTACGCTATTTTCAAAAGGGTTATGGTGAAGTTTTTTCGCAGAAGTAATTGTGTTCAGAAGGATTAGATGAATTTCAAATTCGGAGTAGTTTTAGAATCAGAAATTATAAATTACTACAACTGAGCTTAAGCATTAATTGAAATAAGCATGGTGACAGTTTTGCATTTCATCAATAAGAAATGGATTTTTTTATTCATATAATCAGAGGAATCTGCGGTTGGGTTTTGATTAAATATATTTTCCGTCTTTGCTTAGTAAAGATTCTTAACACATATTTTCTTCATTCTACTGATTCTGGAAGCATTTTCACAATGCAAAAACTACAGCAATGTTGTTTCCACTTGATATACTGCTCCCTCAAAACTTTCTGTCTTTAGTAAACCTATAAAATGTGTGTTTATCAAGCTATAAAGTTGAGATTTTTTTCACTTGCATAATAATCTTTAAATGTACCAATGCTGGAAAAAGGGAATTTTGATTATATTCAAACATTCTCTACCAAAGAAAAAGCATTAAGCAGTACAATGCTTGTATCATAACGATCTCTTATTATCATGATGAATATTTTTGTGGAGAAAAGCACAGATTTCCAAATATGGCATAATCCCATGATTTAAATTTAAACTTAAAGGATGAGATTTGTTCTTTGCAGCTAGTCATATAATATGTAAACTTTATATGTTTTCAACTAACTTTATAAGCGAGTATATAACTTAAATTCACTTGGCACTATCAGAAGACTATGATTTATAGCTTCACAGGATGAATGAATCAAATTTAATTTCAGCAGGGTATTTGTGAATCATTTGCAGTTATTTGCAGACATCTCTTAATGGTGCATCGAAGAACATTTTGAACATTGAACGGATGTCACCAGCTAGTGTTGATTCTGGTTTCGATTCATCGTTTCCATCTTCACCGGACTGTTCACTAGATTCATCAGTTGTTGGAGCAGAAATGACGAAGTGTTGCAAGGATACGAATTTTAAACGACGGCATCAGACAGCTATAGCTTTAGCTGGTGAGCACTTATTGTAATGCTGCTAATGCTGGTGATACTTCATTCTTATTTGTTTAGCTACACATGGGATATCATATTAGTTTTAATTTAAGCACCGGACGTTGAATATATGTTTCAGTAATTTTATTGAAGTCAATAAAGAACTTAGTTACATATATCTATCTATGAATGAATGAGTGTTGCTAGCAGTGATGAAATACAGTTTAATTTAGTTCTAAAAATGTATTTGAATTTAAAGTTTGACTTAAATAATCGTCACGAAATCCTGTGCATCATTCTTTCACAGTTTTAACGGATCCCACATATTTCTTTCTACTTCAGTTACATCACAGTGTCCACTGTCAGTTTGTCAGCCGTCATGTTCATCCTTCTCGTCGCCAATCAGTCGAACATCAAGCGGCATTAGTACACTTAGTACAAGCAGTTTGATTAGTACTGATACGAAAACAGATGAAAACTTTTGTCTTGACGAATGTCTTCTGGAGAAAACAGCTTCACTAACATCTTTGTCATCATCAACACAACTGGTGACTGATGTTTCTGTTAATCAAGATTTGGGAGTTCCATCAACCGACAGATTAGGTATCATCTTATTCATATTTCAAAATCATGCGAATAAAAAGTAAAAATTCATATTAAGAGTAAGTTGTCAACGAAGAAACTTCACGAAACAATTTGTATGTGATAACTATCTCTGTAATCATGTTGTCGAAATAGAATTTCTGAAATTTTAAGTTTATTCATTTATATTTACCACTTAATTATCCAAGATTTGCTAATCTAATTTCTTTCACCGTAAATCCACTGCTTTCGAAAAGTGGAGGGGAAGAAGAATGACGGAAAAGAATTCGGAATCATTATTGGTCACGAGTATTATGACATCTTTCTTATTACTGTTTTAGTAATCAAAATATTCATTACTGAGATTCGTAATTCTTCTTAGGCAACAGTGCTGAGTCAGGATGTTCAACAGTCCCTTCTTTTTCTGGCAGTTCGTCCTCAGAAGTCACTGAGTTTAACTTAAGACTACGTTGTCATTGGAAAGGCTGTACGGAACGATTTGCATCTGATAATGACCTCTATGATCATGTTGTTAAAGTAGGATTTCTGAATTTTAAATTCGTTTTCTACTTGCATATCCAAGAAAAGCTTACTGATTTAACCAGTATAAGAATCCAGCTGGAATTCTATTTAAAAAAAAATCCAGATTGCAAGCTTTCCCTCTGGAAGGTGTGTAAGGCTAATTTACACCTACTGGCTGAGAGATTCTGATGGTAATCACAAAACGCTGTTTAGAAATAATGCATATCTAGGCTCATTTGGAATTGTTGCGACCTTCAGTATATTTGGATGGTAGTAGTAATAGCGGTAGTGGCGGCAGCGGTTCACAGTCACAAACGATTGGTCGTTTAAAAAACTTGATGTGTCAGTGGGGAAGCTGCAAAATGGGTCTGAGTCGTGGCGACTTTCAAAAACAGGTGTGATGTTAGTTGTCATATAAGAATGAAAAATGAATGATGTGGGAGAGCATTTGTTGTAAGAACTTCAGTTTATTATCTGTTTTCGGTTTTTTGGTTTTTGTCTTTTTTATGAATTATTTTGAAAATCAAAAAACTTTCTTGTGCTATTCAGTTCGTTTGGTTGGAAGAACATTTCACAACACGACATGCCGGTAAAGCGCAACCATACATGTGTCTTATAGAGGGTTGTTCATTAAGATTTACATTAAAGCGCTCATTGGAAGAACATCTCAGGACGGGTCATGAAAAAGTGAAAGGTTTGATCTTTTTCTTTATGATATTGAAGATTTTCTAGTATTTCATAGGTCTTTATTTTGAAATCTTTACTTCCTTTTCTGTGATAACCAACACTGTTATATGTTGCTTGATGAACAGGTTTAGTTTAGGGTGCTGAACTTAATTGCACATCAGATATGGTGTGAAGTATATTTTAAGGCATTTGCAGTGGGTCACATTTAAAAAATGGTATCGACGTAAGTTATTGCATTTGAACCGAAATGCTCTGCATCTATCCGAAATTATTACAGTTTTCATTACACAGTGCAGTTGATAGAATTTTCTCAGTTCATAAAGACTTTCTACAACATTTGTTCACTTATATAAGTTGAGTGCAGTAAGAGATGAGATTTATGAGTAGTACATTAACTGACAATCGAATAGACTGCTTCCTTCTGATTTAATTGCAGCCAAACGATGTCATACTGAAGAAGGTGAATTGTCGAAAGTCAAATCCTGCTACCAATGGACACCTCTTCCTTATTACATACCAAGTAACACTTTTTGTTTAATAAGCACGCATCTGCAGAAAATAGAATATGAAAATCTGATTAATATGGATTATCGTAGTTTGTGGAATAAATTTCTGATGTAAATATTGGTGATGAAATTCCTTTCTTTTTTGTTTCCTTATTACATCGCTTTTTTTTTCTGGAGTTTTAAGTAACAAGTCTGTTTTTGGTAAAAGAAAATATTTTTAGGCGAGAAGAATGACTTTTTGGATCATGCAACAGAAGAATGGATCGTTATGCGATTGCGACAATATGAGCGGACAAGTGGTGCTTGTTTTATACCTCGCGAACCAGCAACACCTCGTGGTGGTGCTGCATATCGTAAAAGACGTCGAATACTCACTTTTGCTATTGAACCATTGAAATTTACTCCAAAAGTATGTTTCTGTTTCGGTTTTTCAATACAACATTTTGAAATGAAAGACTTTTGGAAAATGTAATTGTTTGGGAGAAAAGTGATAGCAGCGAGCAGTTTAGGTTTGTTCAGCGTTTCAGAATTCGAAGTGATTTCAGTTCTTTGAAAATTGATTTGCCGAAAGTCATATTTTACCAAAAGCCATTACCCTGACATTAAAGTCATATTTTATGAAGAACTATTGCCTTGACATTTTTCCGAAGTTCGTTTCTAATGTTTTTTGCGCCTGCCATGTTTCTCGCTTTTTTTTGTCTTTTAGTTATCTTAAATTCTTCTTTTTTGTTTTCCGAAGTTTGAGATTTTGAAGCAAGTAAAACTAAGAGAGATTTTAGCCAAGACCAATTCGACCATATAACAATTTTCTTATCTCAATGATAGACAGTGAATTTGGATTTTTAAAGCTAATATGTTTAGGCAGTGGAACGTTGAAATGTGCTGAAATAAGCATTGATAAAACATTTTTAGGTTATTTCTGATACGATGGAGTTAGCAGATGCAAAATCACTTATCAGAAGTGCTTTCATTAGTGCAAAGAGTTGTACAAATTCTGCGGATAGGACCATTACGGATGGTAGCTAATCAGTGATTGCGAGCTGATTCATTCGTGAAATGGAGATTTTTTTGCAGGTTTGCAATGATACAACTTTTGACCTGTAGTATTTTATTTGAGTTGAAGGAACTAAAATCCTATATCAAACTGAAATAATGTAGTAGTGTGGTAGAGATGCTTATCAAATATTAACCAAACATTTATCTATTTAGGCAAATATTATGTGTTTCATATGTCTTAATAGACAAAGCTTAGTGAGCAGATGATGAAATAAATTAAAATTGATTCCATTCATATTATAGAAATCAAAATTATCTTTTGTTCTTCTGTTAATGTTTTTAAATCTTTCAGATTAGGTATCTTTTGACGGTCAACAACGCTTCATTTTCATACGCAAAGTGTTTTCTAATCTTTTTTGGGTAATAAATTGTTTTTGTTTTGTTTTCAGCTTAAGATCTCGTGTGGACATGCGTACTTGTATTAGAAGTATGTGTAAATCCATAAAAATCATTTGATTGATTAACTGGTTATTTAGTTGGTTAACTGATTTTCTTGAGAGATTGTGGTTGAATTTTTCTTTTTTGCAAATGAAAAACTACTAGCTGGAATTGCTGTGCATCTTCCATGACCTTGTGCAATTCGTATTTCATTGTTCTAATATTTTGTTTCATTTCTGTAGATATTTGATCATTTTCCTCTAATTTGATTGATCATTAGAAACACGAAAGTAAGAATGTGTGCAAATTTACAATTTTCATGGTCAATACTTGAAATGAAATGAAAAAAGAAAAGAAATTATCATTTAGGGTAAAGAGATAAATTATCGTTTCTAGTTGTTTCCATTTTGTTAAATAGGAAGCATGTGTTGTAATTAATGTTTACTTCATATTTTGTGTCTTATTAATGAATATCAGTTTATATATTGTTCCGGCTTTTAATTCGTTAGGGAGTAAGATCTTTGAGTAATCCGTGACTCCTGCTAGTAATCCGTGACTCCTGCTAATAATGCATTTGTTTCTGTTTCCAGTTGAAGTTGACACCATTTTAGTTTACATTCGACGGGTTTTAGGTCATCTTGATAATCAGAATTGACTGCTTCCATATACCTACGACTCTGTTCATCAGCAAACGTTATGTCGTCAGCTCACCATGTTATCACGGCATGAAACAAATGTCTTTAATTATTTATACTGCTTTCTATTTTCTAGCAAAAAATCCATTCTATAAAAATACCTGTTAATATTATCCGAATAATTAAAGTACACCTATTAAGACAGGTAGCAGGTAATGTTAATGGTGTTATTGGTGAATGGTTATTTCAATCTGCCGGACGAGTGCTCTTACTATTCCTCAGGAATCCTGATTATCCCTTTTGCAGTGCCTACTATCTATCATAATTTAGATTAGACAGCAACTTGCACATGCTGAAAATGTACATTTCTTGACTCGTTCATTTTTATGTACCTCTTTTGTTCGATGTTGTTTCAAGGAGGGAAAGAATAATGAAACTTTTGATATTGATCTGCTGTCATCTTCCCGTTTCATTCGGGTAAATGCTATATAAAGAAAACCTAAGATTGTTGTAGGAATCAGAAATGGATGCAAAACTTATAATTTCAGATGCGGAATTTCCTTGTTATACATCAAACATTCCAAAGTCCGTATGCTCTCTTCAACTCACTCAATCACGAAGAGATTAACTGCCGTGAACAATGAATCAATATTCATCGCATATAATAATAATAATATGACAAGAGAACAAATTTTTTTTGCAAACAAAGAATATTTGTAGATATATTGTACTTAGGTAGGAACAATTGTAGCAGCATTTTCCTTGAAAACTTTTCAAAATAAGAATTATTAAAATAAATCAATTCCATGCTTCTGTTCCTTAATAAAACAACGGTAAAAAAAAAAAAAAAAGAAAGTTATGCGTTTGTACATGATATCAATAAACAATTAACAATTATTAGATGAAGGATATACCAGCTCAACTTAGTCAAATAAATGTCTCATATCCGGTGGTATTTCTACTCTGCTCTCGAGATCTTTGTATTCTATTGTCATCTTCCTCGGCATCTGAAATGAAACAAATTTATGCTTATTTCACAAGCATTAACTAAACTAATTAAATACAACAATTAATTAGCTGATGTATTATCTCATTTATTGAAAGAAATATTATGTAAAATGAATTGTATGTCTTACTTTTCTCCAGTGTACTGAATCGAACACATAATACGTTCCTTTCTCAAATGTATTTGTCTGTTCAGTAACACTTTCATAACTGAAACGTCTCACCCATAAACGTTCCACTTTATGGTAACGCCATTCTTTTCCATACCTGAAAAAAACGGAAATATTTAGATACTTGAAGAAAAAAAAAAAGAAAAAAGGAAAATTTACAACAAAAAGTAAGCTATCAATTAGCTCAATTAGTTTTAAATATCATACTATCTAAAATGTAGCAAAACTTAAAAACTCACAGCCCATAAGCAGCAGCAATTTGATATTGCTCACCCGGATAATTATAAAATATGTAAAATAATGCATCTTCTTCTAGCAGTGAAAATTTCATTTGTGCTAATTTGTCGCCAATCAATGAATTCAACTTATACACTTCCGGTATCTATACTGATTTTACATCAAAAAAAAAAATTAAGTAAAAATGAGGAGGAAGTCATTAAAAAGCCAATTAGAGAAGTTGGACATAGGAAAAAAGTTGGATCGGTAAATGATTATCAGTGTTTGTGAGTGAGTGATTGATTATCAATGTGACAATAATGAGAGGACACACTATTCCATACGAGTTTGACATTCGTTTTAGTGCAATTTTGCAGAATTCTTAAGTGTGACAAGATATCCTTATATCATCAATATCTAGTTAAGCTTACAGTAACTCTGCAAAATTTTTCTTCAGTTAAATTTAAGCTTGTATGCTTAAAAAGCTTAAATGCGAACCTTAACCTCAATGTGTGGTGCATGATTCGGCCTTTTTGCCCATGGTCCACCATAATTTTGATGAATTTCGCGTCTGAAATTAACAAATGAATAAATGCATGTTCACAATTTAAAATTTGTTTAAAAATGATTTTAGAAATTTTAGTTTATTCCGTTAAATTAATTTTGAATGGAAATCACAAATGTCAATGTTTTCATTGATTCTGTAAAAAATTGTCGCCATTTTTTTCTACTTTTTGCTAATCATCTTGTTGACTTTAATTACCTTGTTAACTTTATCAATTAATCTAATTAACCTACCTGCCATGTCCACTTGGATCTGGTACTTCAAGCCTAAAAAAAAAACAAAGAAGACAAGTAGCATAAATCCTTTTTTTTTCTTTTTTTTTTTTCAATATATACAGCATAAATTTTAAACTTCAATGTAAAAAATAATTTATTATATTATAATTAATTAAAAAATGTATTATTTAAATGAAATTAGAAAAGATTTGTTAAAGTTGAAGAAATTGATGATTAGAACGAATGCGGAAGATTGATTACTTTGAGAGAGTTGAATATTCCGAATATATTTGACTCCAAATAGTATACCAAGAAGAAGAATTATGCATTCCTTTCACTGTTAACATTTTGTTTGCCAATTTCCTTCATTTTGTTTAATTTTCCATTGATAATAACTACTAATCATATATTATCCTTCTCTACTCTCTCTCTCTCTCTCTCTCTCTCTGTGTGCTGTGTGTTTTCCCCTCCTTTTATGTTCATTATTATTTTTTTAGACTTTTAAATTATTTTTAAATGATGAACACCGGAAAAAGGAAAAAAAAAAAAAAAAAAGAAAAAACAAACTTAAGTTTAATTTCTATTAAAAAAAATCTAATACCCAAACTTACTTAGAATTCATGCCTAAACCAATTTCTAATGGATTTTCACCAATCAGAACTGTTGAAAGTGCTGAATCAAGTTGCATTCCTCGATAAGCAGACAAATATCCGATCATTCCAAATTGATCAGTTAACATAGTTGATGGGATATTAGTTACAGTACCTTTAAATTTAAAATTCTCTCAAAATAATATAAAAATAAGCAATAAATAATGATTTAATGAATAAATAATCATAAATTAAAGTGAAATATATAAAAGAGCACTTTTGTTTAAATAAATTTTGATAATTTAAGTAAATATAAATGAAATGAATAAATGAACACAACAAACCATCCGGATATATCTCTATTTTTGGTTTTGATTCAGGTTGAAAATCCTGCAAGAAATTTATTCGAAGCTTAAATTTGGATTAATTCATTTCATTAAAACTGTTAGCTTTTTATTAAAAAAGCAAACAAAATTAGATGTTTTTCTTGTTTTTTTTTTCTTTTTGGATAAAATATGATTAACAATTCGAATTGTTTATTTGCAGTTTTTTCAATGCTTGCTGAAATTTTCAATCTTCTTTTCATGATAAATGAAGAAGAATGCATTCGGATGCTTTCAAAAACTCATAAATAGCAAATTTATGCAAATGAATGAAAGAGAGAGAGAGGGAGAGAGAGAGAGAGAGAGAGAGAGAAACCTGTAAAGTGGAAGTCCCTGCTACTGGCATCCTAATTCTACTTGGCTCGTTTACAGCTCCACTTGGATCATTTATAATTCCACTTGGCTTGCTCATAATCTTACTTGGATCACTTATAACTGCACTTGGCTCACCAACAGTCTTACTTGGTTCACCTACAGTTTCACTTGGCTCGCCCATAGTCTTACTTGATTCGCTTGCAATTCCACTTGGCTCGCCAACAGTTACAGTTCCACTTGGCTCACCCATAATCTTACTTGATTCGCTTGCAATTCCACTTGGCTCGCCCATAATCCTACTTGCTTCGCTTATAGTTTCACTTGGCTTACCCATAGTCTTACTTGGGTTATCTGTAATTCTCCTTGACTTGCCCTTATTCTTACCACGTCGTTTGCCCCTTGATGATAAAGTACTTTGCAATGTTGGAAAATCTTCATTTCGTATTTGAAAATCAGTCTTTGTTGGTGACTGTCTCGGTGATTTCTCCGATTCCTGTTCCATTATTTAATCGTTTCAAAATTCACTGCAAAAATGAAAAATTTTCTTACCTTCAAACATAAACATTGAATCATTTCAAATCATTTTGTGTTCAAATTTTTATCAAAGATCTTTTGATATTACAAAAAAAAAAAAATCTCTTAAATTGTATTTAAAATAATCTGAATCCCAAAAAAAAAAAAAAAAGGAAAGATCATTTGATTATATAATCAGTATCTAACTATTATCACTATTTTTCATCTATAGACCACCTACCAAAAATGATATTTCAAAAATAAAATGCAACAAGTAAACTTCAATAATTATTCATAAAGTCTGAAATACATTTTGTTTTGTTAAAATCAGAAAAAAGGAAATTATTAATTAACTAACTAACTAACAACATTAATGATTGATATTCATTTTAATTTTATAGATAATTATCATAGAAATTGTAGAACTTACCTTTAATAATATCGTAGTAACAGTAGTAATAAGTAATATTACTTGTAGAAATAAATCAAATGAAAAGGTTAGAAAAAAAAAAAAAAAACAACAACAACAACAAGAAGATTTGTCACTTTTTGAAAGTAACAATGAAGATATCTTATATATATATTAGTTAATATTCTTCTGAGAAATTTTCCGCGCATATTTGCTAAAAATACCGCTTTTATGGAAAAGATATCTATCTACCTATGGATGAAAGAATACAAAAAATACCTGTGAAAAAGATGCTTTTCAATTGTACAAAAAAAAAAAAAAAAAGGAATAATAAATTTGAAAACATTATCTTTTTAAATATTAACTTTATACTAGTTAATTTTTTTGAGTTATTTTTTAACAGTTTTTCGTTTTTTTTTTTTTTTTTTTTGTTTCTTTTTTTCTATATTAGTTTGAAACTTGCAACAATCTTGTCTATTGTGCTATATATCCAATGTTTACAATTGAAATTTTAACTGTATTTATTATTTTGCAAAAAGATATGAAAACAAATTTAAGTTTTATTATCGTTAGATAAAAGTGATAACAGGCTAGGAAGAAATAATTGATTACAGAGTTATCTTAATCATTTTGAAAAGTATCAAAAATTTTAATCATAAGATAGAAATTAATTCTAATTTTGCAAGAATGATGACTACTGTGTTTCATCTAAGTTTTGCAAGTTGACAACGAAAGCTGAGTTAATTTGCGCATCAAGCTCGATTACAAGAAACACAAAGTTGCGTATCAGACAACGTCCTCACATTGATCAAAGTTTACAGAGACAAACGTACTGATCAAATCCCTTACCACAGATCCTGCACTCCTCTTTCTTCACAATAAAATGAATGATTTTGAAGTGTCAATGTAAATGATCCGGTACAAAAACTAAACATTTTATTTTATTTTATCTTAAACCTTGCATCTGCAAGGTTTTCTTCATTAATTTTTTTGTAGAACATAAATTAAATGCGAAGTGTTTATTGCAAATAACAACGTAGCAAGAAAACATACAAAAAGATTTCAGGATTCAAACGTAAAATTTTTTCTGTCTCTTTGATCAGTACGAGAGGAGGATAAGTGGTATGTATATGTATGTGACTGCAAGATTAATTTTATTTTACGAGAGTTTTCATTTAAGGAAATACAAAGTCTTCTAAAATTTGAGTAGTCTGTATTTCTTTTTACAAGAGATGACTAAGGGATGGAAATGGAACGCATGCGTTATTATAACGCCAGTGATTGGTCAACATTGAGAAGGTTGGCAACTATGAACCATTTTGCGATGCGGTTGTAGAGGACGATTGCGCAACTTGTGGCTGACCCGACTGTTGCAAAGACTGAGGCAATTTCGGCCGTTCTTCAAGCTCTTTATACTCCAACGTCATATCTCTCGGTATCTAAAATGAAATGATTAAGACTTCAAAACGTCAATAAACAAGAAACAAATGAGAACTAGTACGATTTATGCAGAAATTTCTTGAGCTGAACAAATATTTAAGGGCACGGCGAATAGATATCGTCAGCGTTGTCGTGGAGAACCTCTTAAGATACGACTACAAAATAGACATGACAGTATACTTCCATCTGGACTATGTATACTGCCAAGTCGTCTTTTGACCTAGCTGCTGGTCAGTCTATCGGTTGTACTAAGCAATTCAGTTTCTAGGCAACAATGAGAACCAAATTTTCGGATCTATTTGAGGATTCAAATCAGTTAGAAATTTAAACCGAAAAAATAAAAGGTAAATATAATTGCTTTATGATTTATTCAAATAAATTCCAAGCATTAAGAAATCTCACTTTTCGCCACTGTACAGGGTCGAAAACATTGTAAGACCCTTTTTCATAAGTTGATGTCTGCTCTTTGACACCTCCATATTGCGATCGCGTTAGCCATACACGTTGACTTTTATGGAACCGCCAATCCCTACTGTATCTGAAAAAGAAAAAGGTACTGTATCCAGGATTTAATAGTTCAAAAAAAAAAAAATACTGGTCTGATCTGCATAAATTAAAGGCCATCGTTAAAACTTAAAACTTTAAGAAAACGACAACCACACAGTCAAATCAGATAAATATCAGATAAATCCAATGAAATAATATAACAGCAGGTACCGAAGACTTACAAGCAGATGCGCATGATAGGTATTACACCACTATTACTGACAAGCTACACTGAATGATCTCAGTTTTGTCACTACTACTTATTTATTTGAATTTATGAAAACTTACAGCTCACTAGCAGCAGCGACCTGATAAACCTCGCCTGGACAATTATAAAAGAGGTAGAACAGCACATCCTCTGATAGCTTGCTCAATTTGATATTCGGCAGCTTATCTCGAATCGAAGCATTCGTTAAATATTCATCTGGCACCTAAAATGCTTTCTATTTACAAAAATCAAACAAAAATTATGAAAAAATAATATGCAATATGAAAGCTATAAAATCACAATTTTTTAAACAAACACTAATAAAACTAGCCTTCGCTTCTAGATCCTGTATCCGACATGGATAATCCGCCCATGGTCCTCCAAAGGTTGCATAAATGTTTCGCCTGGAACTAATGAATAAATAACTTAATGTCGATATGAAAAACATCTCCTTAAAAGCAGATTCACCCTCTTCCTCCTAAAGTCAAGGTGTATCAAATTTCAAATTGTTCCTGACATAATCAAACTTCATTCCCATATCGTGCAATCCAACATCATTTTTCTCTGCCATGAACCTACCTTAATCTCGTTTTGATATCAATTTTATCCTGGTATATTTCTAAAAGGTTGGGAAATGACCAAAATTAAATTTTTCTTTTTAAAAATAAACGCTACCAATGGCCAAAAGCCAACTGAAAACTCGAAAGAAGGCTTACTCGGTGGAATTCAGATTCAGTCCCAGAGTTGTCAAATCATGACCAAGAGCAAGTGCAACAATAGCAGGATCGGTTTCAATTGCGCGCAAAAACGTCAACAATCCGGCCATACCAAATTGGTCGCTCAACATGCCTGCTGGGATATTCTTTACCGTACCTGCAACTTTTTAGGATGAAGGGATATGTCAGAATTTTATATTTTTAACGTAAGGATACAAGCCATTACAACACACAAAATGAAAACATTATTATATTGTTTTATGCAGGCTACTGCATAAATTCACTGATTTCTTCATTATGATATAACTCTACTTCCCAATTGTCGTTTTATCCCAGCCGTATACATCTTAGCGCAAAATGTACGATATCATGTCAGGGTTATTACTTTTCAATGTGCATAATTCCCTCTTTCTCTCTGCTTTGAAGTTCTAGTTTTATGGCTATGTTATCATTTAAAAACTAACCGTCCGGAAATGTCTGGATACCTGTCTTCGGTTCAGTGTTCGACCTCTCGGCATACCTTGTTTCTGAGGCAAGTGCATCGACGTTATTTGTCTACAAATTACTGCATTTAATTTCCCACTTGGAGTGGAAACAAAGAATCAATCGCTGATGAGAAAATAAATGCACACCCTCTTATCCTACATAAAATCTACTAATGTTATGAAATCAAAATGGAAATCATAAGGACAGAAAACTACGCAATCAATACATAAATTTTCCCTAATAGATTTATTATTTCTTTTTTGAGAAAAAAAGTTTTACACCAGAAGCAGATGAAAAAGTTCAGAATAAGAAGTACATACAGTTCTTGCATGGGTCTGCCTATTTTCCAGATGATTGGCACCAGGCAAAGCAGGAAAGTCCTCATTCTGGATACGGAACTCGACGTTCTGTGTCGATAACGAATTCCCATCACTTGTTCGCATCAAATTCGCTGCAAAAAGCGTAATCTCAAAAGCAACACAAAGATCGAAATAAATTTGTCAAAAACCTCCTATCTGAAATTACGATGTTGTAGAATTTCAAAGCAATCCCATCTGATTTAAGCTAAACCTAAATATCTTACAGTTTAGCATTCTGTTGCCGTGTATAATTCCTTTGAAATCTTGACCAATCCCCAAGTACACTTTTCTCGTTAACACATGGATTTCAGGGAATAACTTTAAATGCTGACAAAAATTTACAGAATGATTAAAGGACGTCTTTTTATTAAAACAGCTTATGTTCCAATTCAAGCCTAGTCTTTCCAGTCCCAAATCATAGCTGCTTTATTTTACAAAAAAATTTTAAGTCCGATTATGTTCCTTGCTAAATTTCTCGACGATACATTAACTTATGTGAGTCTTTACATAATGAAATTAGAAGATATTTGGGACTGGCCCATTTGTAGTTTTAGTCTACAAACTACAAAAATTTTAACCATAAAATAACTATAAAAGTAGCAAGTAATTCCGTAGTCGAAAACAAAATAGAAAATCTTTTCAAAAACATCTAATGGTGGAAAAACTGGTAAGCCATGAAAGATTAATCTTCTACTGCAGATAGTGATTGTAACAGTCACCTATCTGCACTATCTGACTTATCTCTAAGCCTTTTATTTCTTGGAAATGGAACTGAATAGTTGGTTTTCATTGCTACAATTTATACCATATCTATTATATCCAGAATAATTCAATAATCAAATCTTTCTGCATTTTCTATTACTGAACAATACGCATTTCCGTGACTTAGTCTGCTCACTTCTAAGCATTGATTACTGCCTCTTTCAACTAAAGGAAATTACAGCATACATCACAATACATGAAATATAAATATATGAGGCTCAATTTGTATCATCACCCAATTAAAAGAGTAGCTGACATAATAACGTAACGAAATGAACTTTCGAAATTTTTCTTTCAAGAAATTCTTTTATTTCTTAAGAATTATTTGGAATCAGTAAAACAACTCCAATGCCATCAGTATGCAACTGAAGGATGTAATTATTTATAGCAATATCACTGGTCACTGCTGCATTGCTTTATAAATGTTTTCAGATGGACCACTGAATTATTTCAACAATATCTAGTCATTACTTAAAGTCTATTTTCTAGACGTTCCCTACTTTTTGCATGCTGCTTCTTGAATAAAATAACTTGCCATAAGGGGCTCGCTGTAGAGCATTGTAGACGTCTTTTGAATAAAGATGGTTTTGTGGTACAGATGGTGAGGAGTAATTACTGGTGGTCGGCAATGAATTAAATGTAGAGGACGTTGAGGATGGTGAGGAGCGAACCCCCAAGGATGGAAATTCCGACTCGTTGATAACGTTTTCCGGAGGAATTAGCGAATTACGACAAGCTGATGATGTTGATGACTGTGATGAAAGTCGGTTACGATCAGCCAATATACCTCCACTACTGCTCATCGAGCTCGATCAATCGTATATTCACGCATGTGTATGGTAATAATCTGCAAAAAAGGTAAACCATTATTTTCTTCGCATTTACTTACAATAAATAACAGTCACGACTGCACGACGTTTACAATTATCAAACAAAAAAAAAATTTTTTCTCAAAAAATAATCATATACGTTAAATGCTTTCATCACTGTCGAAGTTATTCGCACAATAAAAAAGACATCTCTCTATGCATTCTTCCCGCATGAATTTCTGTAAGATAAGTTATAAAATAAACATTACATCTCAGATGGGTAACCCTATTTTAAACTGATATAACAGACAAGTTAGAATAATTGAAGAACAGTTAACAACCATGTTTAGTGCTGCATATGTCGAGTTACATTATTACCCACTTGTCATTTACAATTGTCATTTACAACAGTTTTCAACAAAAAAAAAGGAAAAAAAAAAAAAAAAAACGAATGCTTTTTGTAACACAATTCAAACGCCACACTACACTCATGAGGAAACTAATATACAATAAGTAGCAGAGGATCAAAATGTTGATTGTTACGGAGAATGAGTTATTAGTATAAGACAATCTTTCAGATCTCAGCCATCTACAAACTACTTTTCGTCGATCATTTATGACCAAAAGATATTCTTGTTTCAGAAACTGATCGACCATTTGCACCAGTTCTTCTATTCGTTTCCTAAATTAGCTCACTGCATACGATATACTTGTAGGGATTGATATGTAGTGATATTGACTATCAAATAATGCACGCCTTCAAATAGTTCACAAATTCAATTCAATTCAACAATTCATGCCCTAAATACAGCACGTACTCAGGAAGTTCGAGTTTTTCAAATCGGTAACACGATAAGTGCGTAACAATTATCGGCTGAGATGGATAACAAGTTTTATTTTGCATTTCAATATGTCCTAGTGTATTTTCATGCAGTCTTGTCTTGATGCAAAAAATGAAATATGGTCTGCTTCAAACAACGCCTCAAAATCCGAATGCAATTCCACTTAAATTTATTAATCAACCATTGTAAAACTTGTGTAGTGTGTCGTTCAATCTCTCTAGGTTTTGTAAGACAGAATATAATTCCAACTTCAACTGGTTATTTCAGAAAAACATAACAGTTCTAAAATTTTAACTGAATGAATATGATGCTCTTTAAAAAACAAAATTTGTCATGGAATAGGTCTAACAAAAATACGGTCAATGTGGTTAATTAATGCTTCTACAAGTTATCAACATCACAAAAAAAAAAAAAAATGCTACAAGGCACTATATTTGTCAGAACTTAATGAATAACCGTATCGTAAAGATGCTAAAAATTACTCTCTGCACAGTTCCACTACAGAAATATGCAGAGAGCACTCTTCCACTGAATCTCCTGTAATAAGATATTCTCAAGAATAACAAAGTTATACGTCATAATAACATTAAAGTCATGTGTTCACTACTAAAAAATATCTTTGTGATTAAATATAGAAAAAAAAAAAAAGTTATAATTTAAACACATAATATCTACAATATTGTTTCAGTTGTCGCATACATTTCAGCTAATGAAATATGGAGAATGTTATACACTACACTGGCTTCTTTTGTGCTGTCAGATCTCTATCCCTGCATCTGTACTTTTCAGTAACGAATAAAAAAAAAAAAAACAAACAGTGGTAAGGACAACGATGTCAGCTAATATCTTCACCCTCTCATAAAACACTTATGAAGTGCTGTGGGTAACAAACATAAAAGAGAATAAATACTACGAGTAACATTCTTAAGTTTTCTGGATTAAATATAACAACACGAAAACTACCTGTAATACATCTCCATGATCATACAAAAAAAAAACTTGATGCAACACCATGCATTCTGCTAACATTTCTAAGAAAAAAAAAAAAAAAAAACATAACATAAAGAGTAAAAAAATAAAATAATGAATGAACAAGGAGAGAACTTCAAATCTCATTCTAACATAAAATGTAGGTGAGTGATCGATAAAGTAGTTGAAAGATAAAATAAAATCTACTAGACAACAATGGCTATTATGCAAAAAAGGATCGTCAAACACTAGCAAAATTATGTGGGACAGAGGTAGTAGAGTGAGTTCTGCCATCTAACAATAAACCTTTGTTTGAAGTGAAATTTCCCATTTCACTACATCAAATACATCACTCTAGTGCATGCATGCATGCATGCATCATGCTGGGCAAACGTTTCTTCCATTGAATAAAGGAGTAGTGAATAATGCGTGGTGCTATTGAATGGAATTAACACTCGTACGTCACGGCAATCTTCAAAGAGATACGTGTCAAAGATCATCTAACCTTGACCACTGCTACCCTCCTAGCCCTAAGTCTCGTTGCCATCGTCACTGGTCACAACGTAATGGTCAGTGCACGACTACGTCATCTTGCAACACTGCAACATTGTGCATGCATGCATGCACACTCCCCCAAATCTTGTTAACTAATAAAAAAGTCATCACATCGAGCATCAGAACTCGCCTTCCTTTCCATCAATGGACCACAATAAATCGACCACTCACTCTTTCGCTTCACTTCTTTCCATCCCTCTCCCTCTCTCGATGTGCAACCATCTCTCACCTCCCTTCCTCAACCTCTCCACACTATCTCGCACCCTCTCGCCGGTACACTCTCTATACTATGCTGTGGAGAGTGCATGTTAGCAGTGTGGGTGTGAGTGATAGAGATATCAGGGTGGTCCTATTTGGTAGCAAACATGAGCATCAATTTCACATCCATTCAAATATGTCGACTGATGCAGCTCTCTACCCTTCATTATTTACCTCTAAATTCTAATTTGGTTTTTTTGTTTACTTCATATTTGTTTGATTTACAACCAAATTCATCATTTTTCTCTATTCTATCTAGTTATATTTAAGATAGCATTCTATTAGAATCAGAAATTTACTTTTTGTTAGATATATCCTTGAGTATTCCATTTGGAGATAATCGATGAACAGGAAAAATTACAAAGTTTCGTTTTTAGTGGTTTATTCAGTTTGCCAATCATTTGAGTGTAGCATTAGAAGATTACATTAAATCGTTTAAATGTAAACAGTGACAGATGCATAATTTGATTAAATTTTGAATTGATGATTTTGATGGCCGATCCTGTAATGTCCAGTGATCTATTTAATTGATAATTTCAGCATTGCAAATATGGGATGAATTGGCGTGCAGTATTATGGTCACGCCTCACTTTGGGTGTTTTATCAGTTATATTCTTACTACTTTATGCTGCTCAGTACAAAAAATATCGCTCAAATTATGATTATTTGTCTGACAAATGTTCAAAATTAATGGTACATTCGGGTGGTTTGAGTGCACAGTTACAGTGTAAGTTAAATTTTTGACATTTCGGTATTAAATAAAAGGCACGTTTACAAAGCATTTACTCAACTGATAAAGAACTAAACGCGAAAGTGAGCTTTCCTTTTTTCTTTTTATTTTTATGAATAAAAAAGGTTTTTATAAAGAGTTCTTTTCCAATATTTTGTCAAACTGTTTGAATCCTCCATCTTTTTGGAATGGGACGACCGAATGAATTTTTGTATTGTCTAAAGCTGGGTCCAAAACCTTCAAAGGACTGGTTCATTTTTAAACTAAAATTTAAATAAGATAACATTCACATGTGTAGAAAAGATTTTCAGTGTTTTTATGAAACGTAATTCCTGCATAATACTGCAGATAGGTTTTGCAAGTTTCTCTTATTGTTATCATTTTTTTATAGTGTTAATGGAGCGAAACCATCGGACAGAAAAATTATTGGCTGATTTACGTGCTAAATATAATCAAGTTGTGATAGGTAAGCGTTGCCAATTCCATGGATATTCCAAAGAAGATTCCAAAAGTGCTTAATGCGATGTTAATAATTTAGGACAGTATAATATTTTATAGAATTAGATTCCAGATTTTGGTTACTTTTCTAATTATGGTATTTTATAATTATAATTACTGTGTTGCTTTCACTGTTTCTTCTTTACGTATTTAAGTCTACCAAGATCTCACGAGTACATCTTGGTAGAAACTTTACAATTAGCGTCGAAATGAAGTGAAAGAGATATTATGGTATACTAAAGAGCACGTGTAAAAGATATTTTCGTAATGCTGGATTTTTTTTTTTTTTTTTTTAATATTTTGTTTTATTTAGGAAACAGTGAGAAACGACAAAATATTCAAGTACAATGGTTAACTTGTAAGGTAAGAATATATGAACTTGTAAGGTAAGAATATATGCATGTTCTTTAGCGATTTACAATTATAGCACGAAATAGTTCTTTCTATTTGAGGAGGACACCTATGATTGTGTAAGTAAATAGTTAAAAGAAAAATTGAAGTGAAGTTTAACAGGTTTAGCAGCTTCATCGCAAGCTTTTGTAAATCTAAAATGCACTTTGCCCTAATGATCAGTGTTATCCTATGAGTGCACTTGAATCGTTATGGCAAGAAACATGAGAGACTTCTTGAAAGAGACACAGTGTAACAGTTAAATCTTCCCATTCAGTCTAGTATGATTAAGGTTTTATGGTTCCACATTTTTTTGGTTCTGATTAACGCTTACGAAGCTTATGAATCTAATTGGAAAGCTTATATTGTTTTCATTACTTTCACACCATGTTAAATTCGGGTTTTGGGGGATCAAGATTCTAGGTGATTTTATGCTAGTGTTTCAGGAAACATTGAAAAAATGTTTGGCTGGAGTGGCAGTGAGTGAAAAACAGCTGAATGGTACAAGTGGTAATTTATTTCAAATTTTTTGAAAAAAAAAATTGGCATATTTCTTGAACAAAATTTTTGGCATATTTTTTTCCTTTCTCCCTTCAGTATTTTTTTTTAGTGACTTCTGCTGTTTTCACAACAGTGTTATAATCGTTTTTTCGCCATCAGGATTTTTTTTTAAAAGTGCATATATTGCCTAGAAGTGAAATTTCGGCAGGTTCATTTTCATCGAGTTTCTTGCAATAAAAGTTTTTGATTTTTCAGTCACTTTCAGATATCAATTTTCAAGGCCATTTCCTTCAATGTCAGGTGTGCTATTTACCGTTATCTTCCATATCTCTTTAATTTCTGGTAAAACATAATTACATAATTCTTTCTGATGAGTAATTTTAATACATATCTAATTGTTAACTTATACAGCTTTGCATTCTTTTATTTCTCCGTTAAAATGTCCTTCTGTCGCAGTAAAAAGAAAGGAACTTCTTTGCATTCATGATTCCTTAAATTCAGCTGAACGTAGTACATACTTCTAAGCTGTACTTGTATCAGTCGTAATTGCTTTCAGGAATTATTGAGTTCTTACTTTCTTTTTTGCTATTTTTCAGACAGAGATACAAGAACTCAAGAAACAAGTTGAACAACTTAAAGGAGAAGCAAAGAATATTTCGGTATTTAGTTATTCTTCAACCTTTTTTGTAAACAGTTAAATCAGAAATAATCTTGTCGATGTAATGGATACTTTATGAGTTCATTACAGTTAGGTTTTTAAAGAATTTGAGAATTTTATGTGTTGCCGATTCTATGCAAACCAACACTTAATATTTTTTTTTTTTTTTTAGATTATAAAAAGTGAATGTGAGAAGCTGCTAATCAATTCGCAGGTGAGATTAATGGAAAATTTTAACTGATAGTTTTTTGTTTCCAGTGTCAAAAAATTTTTACCTTGGGTCAAGCGAGAATTGTTACTATTAAGACTCTTGTAGGAAACTCGAATACGGTGTAGATCCAAATGCTTTTATCCATTTTACAATCTAAAGAAATTTAGTTTCAAATTTGTAATTTTCTGCAAAGAAAATGACTAACGTATTTTGCTTAATCATAACACTCGATCATAGTATGAAAATGAAGGCCGTCTTTTCTGTCGTGATATTCAAATCATGATTAAACAGAAAAAGAAGGATGGCATAAAAGAAACAAATTACGTGAGTAAAATTTTTGAATTAGGGCTTTTAAAGTTTTAATTGGATTATTTGATGAACTGTTACGATAAACGAAGAACTTACATTCTGTGGTGAGAATTTTTATTTACTGTTTCACAAAATTTACAGCCTTTTTAACAGAGATGAACAAAACTTGGAAGTCTGAATCTAAGTTTTATATCAAAGTATCTTTATAGCATTTTATTTATATTGGTATTTAATTCTAAATACTTTAAAAGAAGTACCAGCGATTTATCCATCACTGTTAATTTATATAAATTTCGGTAAGAACATAAAAATAGCAGCTGCTCGGGAATTCTTTGTATCTCTAGTTTGCTTTTGGCATTTCTCTTTGGTAACCTTTGGATATGGGTTTAAGATGGATATTCGTCCAACTTTTCATAGATGATACTGGATGGATGCTCTAATGTTTGCATGGGTGGAGGCAGTTGCTGTTGTTGTTGCTGTTGAATAACTGTGTTTGTCCAAGCTCCCGAAAGTTCATCAGAACTTCGATAAATAATTGTTGTTGGTGATGGATGAATAGTTGCAGGTAGTACAGATGAATTATTATGTAATATAGTCTTCTGTTCCATGATTTGCGCTGGTGGAGTAGCCCAACAAATATTACCTGTTTGTCCATAGTTGTCCGGTAAATGAAACATTGTTGGTGGGTGGACCAAAAGCTGAAACCAAACTTTATTATAAGTAAAAATGCCAACAGCACTCGAAAGTTACAATTATACCGCTAAACTTTTATTGTTTTTTTTATAAATTTCATAACCTATTTAAAAAGGAACAAAAGTTTCTAGTTTGATTTTTAATTGTCAAAAGTTTTCATAGTTTCCCCTGAATAATAAGTTGATTTAATTTCAAATATTCCAAGACAGTATTAGGAGTCTGTTATATTTATATGTCACATAAGCTTAAAACAAGATACGAACTTTTATAGGCCTTGAATTAGCATTTCCTGAAACTGTAATTAAAAGTTACCTGTTGTTGCGCCTGTCGTTGCATATACTGTAAGAACCAAGGTTGTAAATTCAGCGTTTTGTCTTCTGTGCCAGTACATTTTGACATACGCCTCATTCGTCGTCTGCAAAAAAAAAGATTTTATTTTGTAAAGTCTTAACTCCTAACACGTACGTTTACAATTTTAAACTTTATGAAAATTATTTCACTCCTTTTGTCAATTGAAGTCTTTTGCAAGAGTATGCCTGAGAGAGTATCGGATAGCTTAGAAAATGTAGCACGAAGAATGCAAAGTGATATTTGCAAAGCTCTTGTGGTCATCGAATAGTGTTTTTGCATGAATCAGTTGTCTGAGCAAAAGTTAATCGACTTCGCGCTGGCGCCTCTTTCATTCTTTTTTTCTGGTGGCCTTTAAAATCACTTTTTAACGTTTCATCCTTTTGTGGTTAAAGAGAGAAGGACAGGAGAAAGAAGATAACACTTTAATTCCTTTAAATTTTACTTATTTCGCATTACTACAGGATAACTAGAATGTATCATTCGTTATGACAAGTAGATTGCGCGATTATCCGCTGATTATTATTAATTTGGAACAATTGAACTTAGAAAACTAATCCCTCTCAATATTTCTGCCTAGTTAAATATTTCGAAGCTGTATTTCTTAGGTATTATTTGTTATAGTAAAAGGTTTTATTTGCAAAGCATGTTCAAAATTAGTATCGCCTTCTTTGAATATTACTGGATGTTTTCGAAATATATCTGATTAGGATAATCGTATACTGTTTCTAGCTAAAAATACTTTCTCTGCTTATAATGAGGTTAATAATATTTAAAAAGCATAACATTAGTTATACCTCCTTTTGAAATTTCCATTATCAAACATATTGATACTATCTGGTGATAATGTCCAGAAGTTTCCCTTACGATCATTTGCTGGTCCAACACCATCACGTGCTTTCTTGATAAAACAATCGTTTAAGGATAGATTATGCCTGATGCTGTTCTGCCATCCTTGACGTCTTTTTGGATCACAATTACGGTAGTATGGAAAACGAGCGTCAATATACTGTAAGCGATAGGACAGATGATGGGAGAAGTCTTTTTTCATCCAGGTTGATTCATACCGGACTTCTTTACTATCCTTTTGCTTTTTTATGATATATGAATAGTTTTTCATCATGGGAAAAGGATAAAGTTTTAATGGATATTAGTCATTCTGTGTATTTGAAACTTGAGTATGAAGTACTTTAAAACTTGTGTTTATGATAGACGAGATTTTAAAAGTAATTTAAAGTTCTAAAAAAAGTGTAAGAATTGATGGAGAGATGGTTAAGTGATATCGCCGAGAATATTGTACCTTAGAAAGGTAAATGCATTATTAAATTTTGAGGTCTGTAGTTTAGTAAAGAGATTAAAGAGATACATAATTAAATCTGTAAAATAATCTGTGAGAAAAATTCAAAAAGAAAGTAGTACGTGATAGATTTGCGATAGAGTCATTTGTCGTTCAGGTGAATCACTTATTGCCATCGTAATCAGTGCAACATATGAATAAGGAGGTTTCTCACATTCATTTCCTTCTTCCCTGAAATTGGAAGTTATTTGTATGCTATCTTTAATCCAAAAGAACTTCAAACATCATTAATTGATTTGAGTGAAACAGAATTAGATTGTGTGTAATAACGTTGAATACATTAAAAATTGATGTTATTCTTCTGCTTAGTGATTAAGTAATGATTTACAAAAAGTCTTTATCAATTTAATATATAGGTCAAAAGTTTAAATTTTCTCATGTGATTTCTTCTTCCAGTAATATGGACAAATATTTTTAAATTATTTGGAAATGTAAATAAAATGCAAACATCCAATTTAAATTTTCTAAAAAGAAAGTAGTTCAGAAAAATTATTTCAGAAGACGTACAAACAATTAATAAGCAAATAGAGAGATAATTACTGAGTACTGTTGAAGAAAGTTTAGATTTGTTTTTGCATAAATAAATTTAAAATAGATATGCATGTCTTGGTTTAAGGTCTCATTGGCTGAGTGTCTCTGTGACTGTAAAGAGTAAAGAAGGATGCGGAAATTGGTCTATGTTAAAAGCAGATTAAAATTGAAATAGAGTTAGTAAATGAAGTTAGATGTTTGGCCTATTACTTTTACATCAAAGAAAGATGAGACTTGTTGGTGACATTTCACAATATTTAAAACAGGAGAAAATAAAATTGGGAGCTGAGTTCTGTAATGTAAATATTTGTTTTTTTTTTTTTGGAATTAAAATATTGCTTAGCGTTGAACAGATGTTTGTCGGGCTGATTTGTTAATTCTCTTTTCTTGCTATCTATTTTTATACAATCATTTCTTTATTTTCCCACGAAGGAAACTTGGGAAAATCAAGAAGTAATATTTATGATTGTGATACAGATTTCATTTGAAAAATGCGATCAACCCGATGAATAGATATTTGACTTCTTACGAATTTAAAGATTAGAAGTATTCATCTACGCTTGAAACGCTTACAGTTTATGAAATTCGGAAAAATATTGGAAAAAAAAAAAAAAAAAAGAACTTACAAAATAGTTCGGTTGGACATTAGCGAGTTGAATGCTTTGCTGATGTAGTGCTTGCTACTGTAGAAGAAGAAAAGGGAGGATGAAAAAGATGATGACGCTTGTAATGCTTTTGCTTAAAGGAAGCAAAAATATACAAGTATTAGGCCTATCATCTCGGCATGCTTTTTCCTCTTATTCCTTTCATACATACACTCAATCACTGGAGCCCGTTCATGAAAAAAAAACAGTTCATCTCTGCTTTTTTTCTTCACACTTTTTGTTTTTGTTTCTGTTTTTTTTTTTTTTTTTTATTGCCCACCTTCTCTTACTCTTCAATTCTTCATTTTCATAAAGACATTTTTCTATTACAGTATGTTTTTTTTTGCCGAGTTTTAAATTCAACAGTCTAACTGCTAGAGAGTGAATTAGAATAATTCATTTATTTTTAATGTGTAAGCTTTTTTGGTGAAGTTTACTTGTTGTGTTATATTTGACATGAAATCATAGTTGTGATGGGATATACTCTTTACAAATAACTATTTGTAAATTTCTAACTCCATGACATAGTTATCATTTTGAATTAACGTTTAACTAAATGTCGAAGAATAATCGATAAATGTTGGAAAATTTTTTTTTTTAATTTAATGTTTATTTTCCTCTTCAAACTTATTTTTTTGTAGTCAACTCAAACACCAAGACCAAATTATGTCCAAAATGGAAAAGTGCATTTTAAACGTTTGGGACATCTGAACGATGAGCTTGAATTTCGACGTAATCCTATTCTGCCTCAGTTACCGACTTTTTTATCCAAGAAAGAGTTGCTTTCAAGGCTTTCTGAACAAAATGCTCAGAATAAACATCAAGAACAAATTGCTGGTATGTTTTATGTCAGTATCACATTAGATTTTTTTTTTTTTAAGTGATTGCAAATAAGTTCTTATGTATTGCTTTAAGTATAAATTGCGATTGCTTTTAATTGAAGAGTCTTCTTTATTATCTTTGTTTTCATTTTTTTATTTCATTATTGCGATGTCGAGTGCAAGATTTAAGTCGGATGATATATTACTAGTATTTCTGAGCGTTATAATCTATAAGTGCAAATGATTTCTTATTTAAATAAGTTTTGTCATATTAGCTTTTCGACAATATTGGTAGACAAAAGTTTTGTAAAAATCACACCTTTAATATTTAAGAGAAATTTGATTTTGAGGAATGTTTTGCAATTAATATACAACCATCTTTTTTTAGATAACGCTGCTGAAATATTTGACGTCGCAGAACAAGAATACAAGGATTACAAAGATGCGGTATAGTTTTTTTTTGAATTTTACTCCGCAGTGTTTTCATGCTTGTTTCATTAGCTTTGTGTATGTCATTAAATAACTCAAAAAAAGTTCGTATCATTTCTTCATCTTATTATTGCATCAATAAAACTAAATCGACTACAAGAAATTGGAACCTGGCTTTGAGATCTTTTACTGTCTTCATTTTGGATTCACATTCATTCTGTGGTTGCTTTTTTAGTGTAATGTATAAATAAAAAATTCAGAATCAGGCCTCTGAATTCGTCATTATTAAGCTTCTCATTTTCAGTTATGGTGAACGATTCGACCGGAGTGGCTTTTTCCAGTATTCAAAATCAGTTAGAATCAGTGCTATCAGTATTTTTGCTCCAGTTTATGAATCTGTCTTATTATAATGCAATATTATAGAGTGCTTTCGATTTTATATTCCTATTTTCTCAACTGTTATATTCATTTAGGTTTTCTCTGATCTGAGCTACCTATCCAAAATACTATGATTTCTTCAGAATTTGGTGCTGTTGAAATTTTTATCTTTCTGTGTTGAAGATTTTTCGGGTTTTTCCTGTTGTATTTTTCCAGTCACATTTATGAACAGAGATGATTTGGTTTATATATTTTTAACGCAAGAATTTGCTTAAGAAATGATTGTCGTGAGAAGCAAGTTGAATTATGAGAAAGAATGGAATATGATAAAGGGCAAAAGATAGAGGATTTCAGTGGATTCATAAAGTAGTTTTTAGAAATTTGTCTGAAAATGTTAGATTGTTCTCATGTATGCTTAGTAATATTTTTCTTATCCCGGTTTTTGTTTAAATTCTAATCCTTAACATACATTTTAATTTTTTTTTTCTTTTTCTTAATCCTTACTGTATATAATTAAATAGTCTGCTTGCATTCATGAATGTACATTTTCATACCGCAGAAGTATTATCCTTTATTCTGTTTTATTTTTATTGTATCTCATTACATTTACCTACGTATTATTCACTTTGATTTATTTATTCGGTGATAGTTTTACTTTTTTGCTTTAATTTGTAGCACTTGATTATCGTTAAGTGAAAATACATGCGTGAAATGAATTAGTTATTGTTGCTTGGAAAAGTTTTTTGAGACGAGAAGAGAAGAATTTAAACATATTCGGTTGAAGTTAGGAATTTTGATATTCTGAAAGATGTTACGATGTGAGAGGATGTGTTTCTCATTTTGTCATCTATTATATTATATCATAACAAACTTCAATGATACAATAATTTCTTTAACAGAAGACATTCTATAGAACGATGACATCATATATGATTATTTCTATATAACAAAATCAGTAGTTAATAATCAATTTTTTGAAAAAAAAAAAAATTACTTCCCATACGCAGTGATATTGTGTGTTATATAAAATTATTTTGCAATTTATCGATGAATCCATCTATATCCACAGAAATGGTTAGAGATTTATGTAATTCTTTCTTGAGCGATAGCGATTGATTCATGTTTGCTGTTTAGGAATAGAATAAATAGATTTCAACTTTAGACAGATATAATTGTTCATTTCAAGAAGAAGTAATTTTGAGTTACATTTGCTATAGATGTTGTTTCAGATGAGAATGAACTTCTTTGCAATGTACGAAGGTATCGATGAACTGGTGGACATAGAGGTCGTCGACAGATTCCATGTGATTTTAGCAGTAAATTGATGTTACAATGAAATGTGATAGATGACTGAAAGTGATATTTTCATTTTTAAATCTCATTTAATTTATTATTTATTAAAATTGATTGATTATTTTCACTAGGATCAATGTAATGTATTACTTTTGTAATAAAAATATAACTGAACTAGTCCTGTTTTTAAGAACTAAGCCTAAAAAAAAAAACATTAAATTTAGATCCTGGCTTTTTTTTTTTAATTTGAAATTCATAATATTTGCAAATATAAGTGGTGTTCACTTCAGTGTTGTAATGAACGAAGAAGGGAGAGTGAATTCAAAATGAGAAAGCTGTCGAGAGTAAAAGTGCTGACATAAAAGGTCACTTAAATAACTGTTCAATAAATTTGATTTCTTCTCTTTCAGTGAAATTATCATTGTATTTCAATATATATACATATATTTATACGTATGCTTTTGCTTTTTGTAATTTACATATTATTAGACTTTACCTGATCAATGTCCAATAAGAATATATTTGTTTGAAGACCACCTTCAAGGTCACCATCATATTCCACGTTTGGCATTATAGTAGGAAAAAGAGAGCAACCAAACTTATCAATAATTGGTACCGGAAAGAAATTAGGTCGAGGATTTGAAATCGTACAATTGTTTACTAAAATACAGAATAGACCACTTTGTTGTTGTTGTTGTTGTTGTTGTTGTTGTTTATAGTTGCATGTCCAATGGTGATAGACTGGTTCACCAATTCCAACTTCCCTGCAATTGCAATTTGGTCAGTTTTTTTTTTTTCTCTCAACATTTTTTACTCAATTTTGTTTTAATTCCAGAGTTAGTTTTTCTTTTTTTTTTTGCTCTAGTCATTTTGTTAACATAATTAAATAAAATAGGATACAATAGGATACTTTGTAATGAAATACGAAGCTTATGTGTAAAGTTAATTACATTTTTCAGATGTGACATTCTTCAAGTTCCGCCTAAAATTTAAATTGATTAAGAATTCTGAACCAATATTTAATTCCATTTTTTCTTTTAAAAAAAAAAAAAGATCTTTGTTAATTAAATTGAAGTCAACAAATTTAAATCTGTATTGGATTTTAAAATTAAAATTGAAAAATAACATTGAAAACTTATTGAGTTCAATATGAGAGTAAAATAAATGGCATTGTTTAATTATTACTATCAGTAGTTTATATATAAAATATTTTCAGCAATTCTTTCAATCTGAGAACTAATTTTTGATAAAACAAAAAAAAAAAAAAAAGAAATGAAAACATTTTAAAATTATTTTCCATTCATTTTGAAAATTCTTAGTAAGTTGCCAAATTGAAAGAATGATAATTTAGATAGATATAGCTACCTCTTCAATTCCGCTCCATTCCGGTTATGAGACCGTACACGATATTTGCAGTCCGGTTCTGGGAATTTACTAACTGGAAGATTGATGATATCATCATCAGCAATATTGTAATCATTCAGTCCATTCACCAGCACTATAGATGCTATGCAGGAAAATAGTACAATTTGAAATGGAATTGGAATCGAAATAACCATATTTGAAGTATTTATTGTTATTGTTGGTAGTCTGAGGAATTGCAGATTCATTTCCGGTTTATTTCCAAACTTCCTAAGTGTTAATACAGTCAAAATCACTTTCTTCCAGTAGCCGGTTATTTATTCCTCGTCTTCCAACTTTTGTTTTTTTTTTTTGAAATGCTGAAAAAAAAAAATGATATACTAAATAAATAATCACATCTACTAAATTCTATTCATTGATATGACAGCAATAAAATAGAGAATGAGGATAAGGATGACAGCGTTGACAATTGACAATGAGAAAGATATCGAATTGTTGTGTCACCATTCTTTAACTTCTCTCAACTGAACTATATCACAACAGCATCTATCAGTTGCATTCTATCCAATTATTTATTCTTTTCTTCTTCAATTTCAATGTTATCAAATATTTCTAAATTCTAAATATATCAGACATTTTCTAAAATTCTAAATGTATTCCTATGTAATAGCTTTTATTCAATACATTTCACTTCACGTCATTTTCAATACTACTTTATCCCAGCTATTGTAGTAAAGTTCATAAGAAATATTCCAATATGAAAATGAAATTAAAGTTTAGCGAATTATTCACATTTTTTTTTTTTTTTTCACAAATGCAAAATTTTTGAACAAAAAAAAAAAAAAAAAAGTTAATTACTACAATCACAAATAATGATGCTATTAATTTGATTTCTTAAAGGTGACAGAAATGAGTTCATTAAAATTTAATTTTCAGATATTCAGTTAAATTACTTTCCATTTTAATAGACATATTTTATATTTTTAATATTTCCACACAGAAAGAAAGAGAATTTTGAATTTCAATAATTAAAAAAGATCCTTCTACAACTTACATTTTAATCATATTACCGTGAAGTATGAAAGTAAAACGATGCAATGTAAGATATTATTTCAGTGAATAATTTAATGAAAATTAAGCAAATAATAAATTGATTGCGAGACATATTCAAACTAACTGATAATGGATGGTGTCGGATTGTACAAATAACATTGGTTGGTATTAAATATTTCAAATGAATTAATTTTATTGTGAAAATCAAATCACCTGTTCATTTTATAATTTTATTTGTATTTGTGACATCGAAAATGACCTCTAAAATTGCCAATTTAAGAAGAAATTTTGTAAAGAAGTATTTATTCTTAGTTATTTCTGTTATTGTTAAAATTTCGAATTTTTTGTTGTCCATGTCAATCAACTCCTTTCATGGGTTTCATGAGCGGAATGAGTTTGGTTCATACCAATAGCGCTAGCAATATTTTTATTTTTTGATGAGAAATGAAAATTTTTTTTTTTCAAATTTATTTTACGATTACTTTTCATTTTTATAAATTTTTTATATTAAAGTGATTCTGTATAATTTTGATGAAATGATAACAAATTAATTGTTTTTTTTTTTATGTTTAAAGTTTTATTTTTCCTGTTCAAATATTCTCAATAATTGGGAGGAATGTAAAAGCTGAAATTTAATCAATTTTGTTCATTTTTAAAGTTTTAATCCGTTTAGAGACTGAAGAATTAATTGTATTATTGTTTTAATATTACTTCCAATACTGAATCGCAATCGAGCATAACCTGAAGTTGTTATTCAGGTAAAACTTTTTTTGAATTTTTATACTAACCTTATCCGTTTTTTTCTTTTTGTTTACATCTATAAGCAGAAATAAATAATATCTTATCAGCTCTTTTTATCAATAAAGCATTAAATTTGCAACTCAAAAATAAATCTGAATAATTTTTTTTTTTTTAAATAACAATGCTTAATAAAATTAAAACTTTTATTAGTGAATTCTGCTTCCTAAACGACTTTTCTCACTTAAAATTTGAAAACGAGAAAAATAATTGTGTCGCATTAAATCTTTTAACTTATTATCGAGGAGTAAAAGTTAGATTTAAAGTTATACACTTTCGAATTTTATAATTAAATTAAGCTTTAATCACTATTATCAATTGATAATGTTAATAGCAACAGTTGAGATTCAAGCATTTAACATTTTATAACAAAAACTATAAATACCACAAATATTCAACAAAATTTTCAATGATCTCAGTACTGATCAGTTCAATTAATTAATTTTTCTTCATTTAAATTTTGAATAGTCAATCAATTAGTTATTAAATAAATAAGTCAATCAATGAAACCCTCATTTATCACAATCAAATCAAGCGCTAATATCTTGGGTTGCTATGGAAATAATTACAGATATTTGGACATTTCTTCCTTATGTTACTTTAAATTATTATTATCAGTTATCAGAATGATATGATAACATCATAAGTTACTTAAAAGAATAAAATATAGTTAATGAAGTGATTCTTTTTTGTGGTACTAAATGTTTATGTGAAAATATTATTGTTAAGTTAAAATTCTTCAAATTTAGAGAAGAATTTTAAATTTAGAGAAGAATTTTTTCAATTTAAAAATTTTATCATTTGAAAATTAGATAAGTTATTCAAATGGTAAAATTTTTAAATTGAAAAAAAAGTGATAATTTAATTACAGTTGTGTGCAATCAATGAAAATTTGATATTCATTCTTGGCTATTTTTTGGTAAATTTAGTATCTCGGAAATAAAGGATAAAATATTGGTTCGGTAGGTAAGTAATAATACTTAGAACTTAAAATTACTTATTATTAGTTATACTTATGTTTAACTTATGATTTTACGGTTGCATTTGAACTAATAATTAGGCTATACCGAAGCATAAATGGAACCTTGTACAAACTTTTTGAGGAAACTATTATTCGTTTTCAATAACGGACAAAAATACGTGTCAAGGTTATTCACGTCTTCTTTAATTAAGCAAATTTTCTTAAAGTTCAGGTAAAATTAGAGGTATTCAAATTTTATAAAAAAAATTAACTTTTGTAATAAAAATGTATAACTAATGACTAATACGTGCCAACGTCACTAGTGATTAATACGCGTCAACGTCATTGATGATTAATACGTGTTAGCGTCACTGATGATTAATACGTGTTAGCGTCACTGATGATTAATACATTTGGAAACGCTTGCCAAGAAAAATATTACAAATAGTGATTATTTTTTAGGTATATTAATTACAGGTATGATAAACGTCATCAAGAAGGTTATTCACGTCTTCTTTAATTAAGCAAATTATCTTAAAGTTCAGGTAAAATTAGAGGTATTCAAATTTTATAAAGAAAATTAACTTTTGTAATAAAAATGTATAACTAATGACTAATACGTGCCAGCGTCACTAGTGATTAATACGCGTCAACGTCATTGACGATTAATACGTGTTAGCGTCACTGATGATTAATACATTTGGAAACGCTTGCCAAGAAAAATATTACAAATAGTGATTATTTTTTAGGTATATTAATTACAGGTATGATAAACGTCATCAAGAAGGTTATTCACGTCTTCTTTAATTAAGTAAATTTTCTTAAAGTTCAGGTAAAATTAGAGGTATTCAAATTTTATAAAGAAAATTAACTTTTGTAATAAAAATGTATAAATAGTTTTTTTTTTTTTTTCGAAACCATACTATTTTTGATAAGTTTGGATGATTATTCTTGATAAATATATGTTATTATATACTACAATGTGCCATCATTTCTCTCAAACTAAAAAGTAAAAACAATATTTTTTTATTTTAATAATTTTTTATTTTCCAATGAGCTTTTCTCAGAAGTTTTTTAAGACTGAACTTTTAACTTTTTTTAGCTTTTTTTTTTTTTTTTTTTTTATACACAACAAAGAAAGAAAATTTAAATATTTCATATATTTGAATTTTTAATTAATTTATTATCCATTTCAAACAGTTACAATCCAGTAGAACCATGGATTTTCATATTTATTGATGTAATATTTTCGAACAAATTTATTTGTAAAATTATTTCTCTTTTTATTGTTTACAGCTTATTTCTTATGAATATATTTTTCCTAGTTTTTCGGACAAAAAATAAAAAAGAAAATTTTGCAGTTTATCTGAAATACTTATTAAATTAAAATTTTATTTAAAACTAATTAGTCAACCATCTGTAGCAAACTTACTTTATCATATTGATTTTATTAATTTTGCACAAGAATGCATAATTTTTGCATAATTCTTATTGAAAATAATATTACTGAAATTTCTCGATAATGGCAATGACACCAAAATGTGTTCATCACTATCAATTTTAAATTGTCACGCGACTAACATACTTTATTACTACTATTAAAATTGAAATTAATAAGATTAAAAATGAAAATGTCATTCCCTTTTGTAAAATGACTTCCTGTGACTTAAGAAAACTTTCAAAATTTTTTAGAAAAATTGATTTTAAATTGTTTTTGAAGCTAAATTTTAATAATTTACCTTTATTCATTCATCAATTTACGTTAGATTTTGCTTTTTATATTATTTTTCAGACATGAAATGTTAGCATAATGCTAAATTTTCACTGATATTTGTTGATTCACATTTATTAATGATAATCTCTGGTTGAATTGAGAAAAAAAAAAAAAAAAATGCCATCTGATTTTTTTTGCATTAGATTGAAGGTTCCTTTTATGGAACATTACTGAGCAAACTTTTTTCTAGCTAAAGTAATCAAAGATTCTTCTATATTTTACTTTTTTAAATTCACCATTTCCTTCACGAACAGTTAAACTATTAAAAGAGAGAGAGAGAGAGAGAGAGATCAGAATTAAACATTTATGATTTATTTAGAACTTAAATAAACTTTAATTGTAGTTTTGTCTAAGGAATCTTTTTAGATTTTTTCCTTGACATTTTATTTATGTCTGTCAATTTCATTTTTCAGTTAAATGAATGATCCAACTTGATTTTCCCTTACAACGATATCTTCCTTTCTCTCTCTCTCTCTCTCCGTCTCTCTCTCTCTCTTTGATCATTCAAATAATTTTATAAAATGAAAAATATTACACAGAACTTAACAAAATTATAAAAAATATTAAAGAACATATATAATTATGAGATGAAAATATTAAGGCGCTATTACACAAATTACCGCTACAATGACAAATTGAAGGGCTATGAACATGATGGCATACCATTTTGTTATCAATCACCTTATCACGATATATAAATTTTTGACAGCCACGCATAACAAATTGTAAATCTGAAAGGAATGTAAATTTCATTACTAAAAAATATTTCCAATAAATGAGCATAAATAATTATCTTCAGAACACTTCACCTTAAATAAGTAAGCTCTAAAAAAAAAAAAAATATTTCTCTCATTTATTTCTATGTTTTTTTTTTTTTTTTTTCAAAATGAAATCTAATCAACTACTTCTAATCTGAAAATGTCACATTGAAATTGAAATAAATTTCAAATTTTAAAAAATTTGAAAATGTTCGTAACACTTACATTTTCAAATATTTTCAAAAAACACTTACACTTACAAATTCAAAGAATTATTAGTCGTAAACATATGTTTGCTTTTAAGGCAAAACATGAAATAATTAATAGCTATCAAATTTTTAAATTATTTCAAGTAAAATATGTACTAACTTTTTTGTCGTACTGTAATTTTGACACACTGATCATCCGGTAAACAATCAATCTGTTTTACGGTTCTGAATGCAACATCTTCTGAATTGATGCATGACCTATCAACCGGTGGTACCATAAAGGTTGAATAAAGTATCGTTTTGAATGCTCGTTGCGCATCCTTACTAATATTCGAAGGTAAACTGGATGCACAGTTATAACAGTAAAGTGCTTCACCAAATAGAAATAACAGAAATTCAAAAATAATTAATGTCACAATGACAGGTGACATTATGTGAATAATTAATTAATTAATTAAATTTACTACTTTTTAATTGCTCTTAAGCGTTCTGTTTTTTTTAAAAAAAAAAAAAAAAAAAAAAAAAGAAATTGAATATACAAAAAGAATTCAGTTTGAATTTTTGAAGCAGTAATGTCATTCAGATTTTAATAAAAGATGAAAACAGGATTTTTCGGAAAATTTTCTGAGAGTTATAAGAGCAATATGATGATTTTAGGTGGGACCAGTAATTGTAATGATTGTGCCACGAAGTGACACACTGGAAGACAGCTGGACATGATGACATTAGCAGGATTGGAGTTCAGGAAATAAATATAGCAATGAAGTTACCATGGAAACTGGAAAATACTAACCGAAGTAGTTGAGGATGAAATTGCATCCATTTCCGTTTCTCAAAATTTGAAATGTTTCATTTGCATTCTAAAGTGCCCAACAGAACCAATGCTAATTGTCATCTCTGAAATATTTGAAATTGTTTAAAGACAAAAAAATATGCATAATGCAATTTTGTCAATATGATAAAGCATACGAGAAGTAAAAAATTAATTTTAAAAAAATAAATGAGACATATTCAAACAAAAAATTATTCTTCAAATTCATTATATTTGTATAAATTTTGCACTTATTAAAATTAAATCATTTTTTTTTTTTTTTTAATTTGACAAACTGTAATCATAACCACAATTATGATCATATGATTAATTAATTGAAATTAAAAAAAAAAAAATGCATATTAAAGTTTTTATGCATTTCTACAAATCAATCAAAGGTTTAATTTTTTCACAAGTATGGAAAATATTTTACAAATTTTAGAATCATTACATTAGTTATCAAATGTACAGTCACCAATCACATGCATACCAATGATTTAGTGGCATGAAAAATAATTTTGAAATTTAATAAACTTTCATCATTTATTTCCTATCAGTATTTCTTTTCCTCCCCCCCCCTCCAAAAAAAAAAAAAATGTTAGTTTTGAATTCATAAATTTTTCTTTTTTTTTTTAGAAAAAAAATGTTAATTTCATAAAATTTTCTTTTTTTTTTTTTATGCAAAAGTTCAATATGCGTTAATTTGCGCTAGCTTACATCTATCCATAAAACACACATAAAACATAAGTGTCAAAATTACCACACAGGACAAAAGCTCCAGCTGTACATTTGCGCATTCGTGCGTAAAGTAACATTAAGTTTACATATCTATGCTATGTCGTAATTGAGAATTACAAGTAAACATTGAAATTTCAGTTGCATTTCCATCTTAAAAATCTGCAAAATGTCAATCAAATATAATAACTTTGCTTTTGCATTTGATTCTCAAAAAGATTTAGTATTGGAATTTAGTTACAAATATTTGTTAAAAAAAAATGTCTGAGAAACAAATTCGGTAAACTTTCAATAAAGTAACTACTGAAATTCCTTTTTATTTTTTCTTCTGAAACAATTAACAAATTTTTTCCAGTAAATTCAGAGTTTAAAAGATATTTCAATTTGTTTCTTTTTATAAAAAAATATTTCAATTTGTTTCTTTATAAAAAAAATAAAGTATATATATAAAGTAAAAAAGAAAATAACAAATTTTTTCCAGTAAATTCAGAGTTTAAAAAAAAAAAATATTTCAATTTGTTTCTTTTATAAAAAAAAAATAAAGTAAAAGTAATAAAGTATGAGCTTACAATTTATTTGATCTTTTCTTATTGTATAAATAAATTGTTATTTTAAAAATATTTGTTGGATAATTTGATAACGAACAGGAAAGTAAAAGGCACTTGAAATTTGATCAATCTTTGAATAATTGATGATAAGCCTAAGCTAACATATATCTGGCGAATTTTTTTTTTTTTTTTTGCAAATTTAAGTTGGAGATTAAATTTAATTTCTGAAAGAATCAATTATGTTATAAATTTAGTCAATGAAAAACAAAAAAAAAAAAAAAAACAAAAATAAATTTTAAAATTCAAAATTGCATCCGCAATTTGCTATGAATCAAATTTTTAAGCAAAGAAAAAATTTCGCACCTTCTCGACTATATGTTTGAGTTTGATTTCACACAAATAATATTTCTTTAAAAGGATGTTATTCATTCATTCATTCATTCCAAGTTTTCTTTTTTTTTTTTTTTTTAAATGACTAATGAGATTCATCATTGTTATCAATTCATAGCCATCATTATTATCACTATCATCATCATTATTATCATTATTATCATCATCATCATCATCATCTTATCCGTTATCGTTAACCTGTCACCAATTTTTGTGAAAATGCATTCGCCTAAGCAGAAGGGTCGGTTTCATCGAATGATTTACGATCGCCTAAAAATTTATGCCTTGCCCTATCTCCTGTATACATCAACTAATAGCAATTATTTTCACTTGGTTTCTACGTTTGCTTGCGTGTGTACGTCTTACTCTTTGCCTGTGCATTTTGTTTTTGATTGTTCAAATTGTCAATATGATATTTTTTATTTTTAAACTTTTATAAAAATTTCATTTAAAATTTTTAGCATTCTAAATTTTTAGTATTTTAAATTGCTTAATGTTATATCCATAGAAAAAAAAAAAAAAAAAAAGGCCGCCGAATGGACTAAACAACTAATAACAAATTTATCAAACCTTAAAAATCATACACCAAAATTTATCAAGCTTTAAAAGTTTTATTTTCAGAATTGCTACTTTTGTTAATGAAGGGGTAGCTGAAGACAAGAAGAGGGAGGAAACAAAAATTTTTAGGAAGCAAACAAAATTTGGGTTGTCACAGTTATAAACCAGTAGTGAAGTGTCCCCCGTATCAGCCGTCCTCTTTTTGCCTTCTTCTTCTTCTTCTTCTCCTTCTTCTTCAGTTACAGTAGTCAATTTGTGAAATTGTCAAAGCGTCACAAATATTAGTTAGTTAGGGGACAAAGGAAAAGAGACAGTTCTCTTTCATTTGCTATCATCGTATATTCCAATCCTGCATTTACTTATTATTGTCACAGCACTTCACTACCTGATTACTTCTGGCTTCCAGCTTTTCTTTCTTTTTTTTTTTTATCACCTGAATTTCTACCTATCAAAAATTCATCTATTCTGGCTACTGAACAACATTCTTACCTGAATGAACTACAACCGATGACTGTTGTTTGCGCACATATACGGTGGAGCAATGCGATACGACAATAAGCTGAGGACGAGCACTGGCGATGAATTATATCATCTTTCTACTACTTTTTCTCGATCCATTTGTCGATTACGTCATCGCGATCTCATGGCTGTAATTCTTTTACTTTTACTTTTACTTTTTTTTTTTTTGTTTTTGCAGCGATTATATTTAAAAATTTCAAATATTAATTCATCAAAGTTTCAATTTTATTGCAATAAATATTAATTGTTCTACTTAATTAAAATTTTTTATTAATTTGATTAAATTTAGATAAACTGCAAATGGTAAACATTATGTGAAGTTTTAGTTTTAATTGTTATAAATTGTTTCTATATTTATTTGTTTACTGAACTTATTCACGAACTGAAATGCATATAATCATTTATTTTAATAGCACTTCTATTTGATTCAATGAGCTCTTAAAAAAATAAAAATGAAAGTAAACAAAATTCTATGACATAATTGTGAGTGTCAGACTTGAACCAATCCAACAAAAAAAGAATCAAATTTTATCTAAGCATAAAAAATTAATTTAATTTCAGATTTAACCAATGTTAATATTTTTTAATTAGATCAACCACAAATGAATAATCAAATTCTATAGCTTTCATTTTGGCAATTCCAAATAATTTAAATATATGAAAAATTTACTTACTGAAAAAAAAAATAAAAATTGCAAAATAATTTTTGAAAATAATTTTTTCAAATAATTTAAAAATTTCAAAATAATTTAGCAACTTCATTTCTTCGATATTATTATTATTTTGATTTATTTTCTTCATGTCTCTTTCCTTAAATTTGCCAAAATGATCTAATTTAGAGGATTGTTGTAATTAATTACGAATATAATTAAAATCTAAACTTTCCATTTGTATCGATGAATAACAAATAATAATAATAATAATAATAATTGTAGATTTAGCAAACAACTGTAGATTAAATCAAAAATTTATATTATTCAAAAGAAAAGTAAGAATAAAAATCAAAAATTATGCTTGAAGTTTTTTTTCTGCTCAAATAAAAATATAAAATGCTCTGAAAGCAGAACATCTCATATTTTTTTTTTTCCACTTTTAAGCTAAAAATTCTATGGTGGCGCCACTCTGGTATATTTTTTACAGATTTTTACCATCGATCGTAATTCTTCTTTTCATTTTTAATGCAAGTTAGAATGCATGAAAAGTTCTGTGGAAGGGAATTAGTAAATATTAGCTTATAGTAATGAATTATTTTAAAAAGAAATGTTTCTTTTTTCTTAGTGAATCTTTTAAATTATTAAATTAGTTTTATGATAAGAGGAAAATATTTATATTGCTCGAGAAGAAATATAACCGTCTATATGTATGTTGTAAAAATTTTTCTAAAATTTAATTTTTTTTTTTTTTTAACATTTATTTTTTTAAAAATTTGAATGATTTTGTTCGGATAATTTTTCACTTTCGAGAAAAATTATAATTCATTTGTGATAGTGATAGTTGTGAAATGAAATATTGAAATAGTTGGAAAATGAGCCAAATGATAATGAGCCAAGAGTATAAGTATGAGATTATTGTCCAAGTGCAATGATCAATCATTTAAAATTCATTCTCATTCTCGTTTACCTTCCGCTACTATTCCATCCATTCATTCATTCACTTAAATAATATCAGTGAAAGTGGATAGCATCATTTTAGTGGATTTAAAATTTCCTTCGAAAATGACAGATAACATTTGACAAATGAAATCGATTGGTTGTTGAGCAAATGATGGTGACAACGACGACGACGATGATACGAGCAGCAATCCTTTTGAGCAACAGAAGGAAGTAAAACCCATCCCACCTCCCTTAGACAGTCATCAATTTCATTTTGCCAACGTCCCTCTCTTTTCCGCCCCCTCACATTCTGTGACAAGTCACAGACTACCGTATCCCAATCCTATCCATATGCATATTTTTGCAATCGTAGCATATTCCTCAGTAGGAGAAAATAGTCTTTCTAAAATGCAAAATTCATTTGCAATCCCTTAAGCTTAGCAAAACGTGAAGCGTACGTTTACGTACGTTTACGCATACGCATTTTATTTTCACTGTTACGCATTTACTGAAAGGGAGAAATGTCTTGAAGGTGATTTCTGATAAGATGATTGACATATCATTCCGTAATCAGTTGACAGAAATGATGTTATATTTCTATCTCTAGCTATCTTCAAAGACAAAATGAGGAATTCAACTTTTAAAATGTACTGACGCCAATCTTTTTTCTTTTTTTGAATAAATCGTTACATACATCTATCATCGACTAAATATAAATAAAAATTAAAAAATGCTCCCTTTTTTTTCTTTTAGAGCTTTAAGTCTATCCAGTTCAAAGATAGATCGATTGCATCCACAATGGTCATGTCGACATCTGCATGGACTTACTCGCAAACAGGTTATACTTCAAATTCATCAGCACTGGAAAATTGAATATTATGAAAATCGGGATTTTTATTAGATGAGAAATCCGTCCAATACTGAAGAATCAATTTTTTAGCTTCATTTGAAAGCTAAACTTTTAAAGAAAATTTACTTGTGGTGATATATGATACTTGTCTGCTACTTGCCTTTCAATCATTTATTCAAAAATTCAAATCTGATTCGTTGTGATCACTTTAATTTGTGACAAGAATAGCAGCAAATCAGAATAGTTGACCTTTGCAATGAGTCATATACCTTTATGATAATTATTTTGATCTCAGTCATCGATAATAAAATCGTAAATGTATGTGACGATGAATATTACAGTTAAGGTTTTGTCGACGCAATATCGAACAGATGGATAGCATAAGAGCCGGTGCCCAATTGGCATATTCCGAATGTCAGTATCAATTCCAGCAGAGAAGGTTTGTTTGTCACAGATAATCTTTAAATACTTCGAATTTTGCAGAAATCAGAGAAATCAACTGATAAACTCACTGATAATCATTGTTAATTGTTGAAAATAATTCCTCTTTTTTTTTTTTTTTTTATTGCTAACGAATTATTATTTTTTAATTCAAGCACAAGAAACATCATCAGTTAAAGATGTTTGAAATGATAAATTAACATATGAACAAAATTAAATTCGGAAATTAAATTTAAATACTAAAACAATGATCAATTAAATTTATCTAGTTTCAGAAGTTTCGATTCTTCAGTTTGTAATTTTTATCTTCAGAATTATGTTAAAATTTTCAAATCTTATACTAATAAAAATATTTGAATTTAAAAATTTTTTCATATATTTTATAGATGGAATTGCTCATTAATCAATCCAAATACGAAGGAAGTTTATGGTGATATGATTTTAAATCGTGGTACTCGAGAAGCTGCTTTTGTTCATGCTATTTCTTCCGCCGGAATTGCTTATCGAATCACAAGGTCTGTTATGCAAGAAATATCGGACTGAACGATTAATTTGCTTGAATTCATGGTCCATTGACAAAGCTCTACTACAGAGACTGTTCCAAGGGACTCATCGATAAATGTGGCTGCGATTTGAGTGCTTTGAAAAGAACGGATCAGTTTAACTGGAATGGATGCTCAGATAATGTCCGATACGGTGTTGCTGTATCGAGAGCTTTCGTTGATGCTGCTGAGAGAGGCAAAAATCAAAGTCTCGAACGAAAAATCATGAATTTGCATAACAACAACGCTGGAAGACAGGTAAACAAAACATTGAGAATACTTTCTTCTTTTCATCAGAAGTAATATCAATTAGTAGTTAAGCTGAATATCAGTCAGATTATATTCTTCCTTTTTCTTTCTTTCTCTCTCCATTCATTTCTCTGTCTTTGATTCATTTTTCTACAACAGGTATTGGAGTTGAACACCCGGAAGCAGTGCAAATGCCATGGATTGAGCGGTTCCTGCGAAATGAAAACATGTTGGAAATCAATGCCAACATTTAGGTAAATCTCTTCATATCCATATTAAGAAGGTTTGAACTTTTTTTTTTTTTTAAAAAAAAAAAAAACCCAAATGACATAGTAGTGACAGATACTTGTTAGTATTTTTCTGAATTCAAAGTTTATTGATGATCAAAAGATTAATAAATCTTTTCCTCCTTTTGAGGGTTTGTAAAAATAAAAGAAAATTCGAGAAGAGACGTGGAGTTTTTTTTGAATTTTTTACAAGGATTTTGATTTAGCATTGATATCACGAAATTAAATTTAAATTTCAACATTTTTAACTGCTTGCTATTTGCTTACTAAAAAAAAAAATATATATATATCAATCAAAATCAAGAAGCTGCCATAGCTCTAGACAACTATTTTTTATAGGGAAGTTGGAAAGATAATCAAAGATAAGTTTGATGGTGCAACAGAGGTAGCAATCGTCGAAGAAGACAGTAAACCGATAATAGTTCGCAAAAATGTGAATTTCAGAAGACATACTAAAGCTGATCTCGTAAGCTACACTTTTCTGTTATATTTATTAAGCTCAAATAATTACTGAAACTACTTCTCGTAAACTACGTAGATTTTTATGGTACATTCAAACTTAGTAGCAAATAAATTTTAATTCAATACATTTAATCAATTATCACAAATGAATTGCACTTTTTGTAAACTTAGGAAAAAAGTTATAAATTATAATTCTTTTGCTTTTCACACAATAAATAAAACAATTCATGCAGTGACAATGTCATTATTACTATTAATTATAATTATTATTATTGCTATTATTATTAATTATTATTATTACTATTATTGTTATTATTATCTTTCGTTATTCTTCACTTCTGTTCTTGTTTTTTTTTTTTTTCTCTCACTCATATCCTTACCATTGCTATTATGTGAAGGTTTATCTGGAGTCATCTCCGGATTATTGCGAGCCGGATCCGGAATATGGTATTTTGGGAACGCATGGCCGCCTCTGTAATGTTTCGTCGCACGGAATCGATGGATGTGACCTGGTAATTTAGAAACTTTTTTTTTTTTTTTTAATTTCTGATTATTATAAGATACATTTTACCAATGAGGTAGCTTAATTAACAAATTTCTTAACTTATTATTAATTTGAGATTTGCTATTTCTGTTTTTTTTTTTCTTTTTTCATTTGCTATAAAAATTTCTATTGTTTTTACCTACTAATTACTACTTATATATTCATTTACAATGAAATTCTACTCCTTCAATTTTAGATGTGTTGCTATCGTGGATTCGATACGCGGGTGCGTAAAGTCATGGATCGGTGCAATTGTAAATTTCATTATTGCTGTCGTGTGATTTGTCAACCGTGTGAAAAAGTCATTGAGGAGCATATTTGCAAATGATAATTATCTAATGTTTGTTTATTTACTATGTCTGATTGTTTTGATAATTCTTTATTGATAGGAGCTTTTTAGTAAGATATTATTTGCAACTTTTGGCACAACTTTGACAATTTGTTTTATTAAAAATTATTGAGCCAAGCCTATCCTGTAACAATACATTTGGACTTTTAGAACATTTAACTGTCATGTTATTATATTTTGAGACAATTTCGACTAAGTTAACTTTCTTCAAAATCAGTCATTCAAGTTATTTTCATTGGAATATATTTATTACTACTTCCTTAATTTACATTCCACATTTCTACTGTGTTGAAAAATTTGTGATAAGTTAATTAATGAGAACTGCCAGTAAAACATTTGAGTTCAAATAAAATTTAGCTTTACAGAAATTAATAAAATTCTTTTCTTTTTTTTTTTTCCTTTGCTTCTGAATTTTTTGAGATTCGAAATTTTGTCTCTCAATATAAAAAAGTGTACACATACGCAAAAGTTCAAAGACAAAAGTTGCAAAAATATTTCACATTTAGAAAAACGCTTTTGATCATAGACAATTTAGTTTTTTTACCATCGCAATTCATTAAATTTTTTAGGATTTAACATTCAAATATTTTTAAAATATATAAATTGTTAAAACAACCAAAATTACACAATCAATCGTAAATGATGAAGTTAAATAAAAGACGAATTTTTGTAAGCTCATAAAATTAAAAGTTTAAATTTAACATTGCTATTTATTTAGCACAAAAAAAAAAAGGTATCAATTGGTTTTTATTGTGATAAGCTTTTTTTTTTTTTTTGAAATAAATTATTTTCCTCTGTGACCTGTGATCAGAAATATTTGATATTCTAAATAAGTGGTACATTTGCATTAATATGTTCACTGCGGGCATCTTCATGATTAATTATACACTTTGCATTGCTCGCTCATTCTTCATTGGTCTCATTTTTGAAATCGATCAATTAATTCTCTTTCTTTGCTCTTTGTTTGCTATTTAATTTTAAAAATTAAGCTCATATACAATTTATTATAAAACATTTATCTTATCTGTTTTATTGTTTGCTAACAGTTATGCAAATTAAAATGGACAACAGTGTATGCTTCAATTTGTTAATTTATTTCATCCATTTTATCCTTTATGAAAATTCATCATTCCAAATTTCATATTTAAATTAATTTCACTAATTTTTTTCACTTGATGGAATTTTATTTGAATAGTTCTAGAATTGCGCAATATAAAAGTGTTTGAGTAATTTAGAATGCTATGGAATTAAAATTTCTTAAATACTGAAATTTTAAATGTCGAAAAATGAGAGAGAAAAAAGCTTATGAATCAACTTTAAAAACTTACATATCATATTTATAAACATATCAGCAAATTGAAAAATATTTTGAAATGATCTTTTTATTTTTCCAAAATCAAATTCTTGGCTTATTTGTTTAAAATAATAATTGTAGCTTCAGTTGAAAGTTCCGGAATTCCTAATCTGGTAATCTTGAGATTTCGGAAAGCAAAAAATTACAAAAATTGAGAGAAGAACCAAAAGATGCAAGGAAATGTATTCCAATTCTAATATAGTTTACACATAGCTAATGTCCAACAGTATTTTCCTGTAAAATTATACTCAATTTCCGTGGTAGCAAAATTTTTGAAATATTAGAAGCGAATTTCGTTATGTGCTATATGTTGTGGACATCATAAAATAAATATGTAAGTGACCAATAAATATAATAATGATGGACAGTGAATTCTAGGATTGTGCTTATGAATTGATTAGACTATGAAATTTGATTTAAATTTATCATTTCACTTTATTGGGAAATATGTCTCACTGAATATGGTCATATCCATCACATTCGAAAGTATTTCTGAGTGTTTCTAAGTGCTTTGACAAGCAAATAAATTGACAAGCCTAAATGGATTTTATGGTCCGATCAATTCCGCTTAACCAAAATATCTTTGATTTTTAGGATTAGTCACCACACGTACTTTACTTTTACTTTACTACAAAAATAAGTAATCCCTAATTTATTTCTGTAAATCTTTAAACTTTCTTCAATTTCTTCCAGTTGACATTCACTTACTTACCGCTGATAAATGATTTTGATAATATTTGCTAATTAAAATGTTTTACAATGTTTAAATTTTACTGTAATATTACTGTCTTTTTAATCTTACCGTAATACTGTAATCTTACCGTAACCAAATCTTACTGTAGCCAAATTTTGGAAAAAAAATACCGTAAGTTTTGGATGAAAGTTTCAATATTCTTAATTTATAAATAGATTATAAACAAACTTCTTAATTCAAATTTTCAACCACAATTTAAATAGAAAAATGAGATTAATTAAGTAATTGGAGTGCTGGATTACTTAAAGGTAGCAAATAATAATATTGAAAAAATTTTGCTTTTTGGCTAAAATTTTCACTCGCATTTTCATGCCTTTTTTTACTAGCAAAAATATTTTATTTTAAAGATCACTTCGAAATATTTGCAATTATAAAGCAATATCAATTAGAAGTATAATTATTCATTCATTTATATTAGTATAACTGATAATGCTGTCGCATAAATTAGAAATTTATATCAATCAGTAAACGATGATTTATTCATTTTATAGTCTTATGAGCTAATTTAACAAAAAAAAATCAAAGCAAAACTTAAAGTTTGAACTCTTTCTCAATCGATAAAGAACAATTGTTTATTCAACGACTTCTGACAGACAAAAATAAAAATCTCCGAAAGTTCGCTCTACAAAAAAAAAAAAAATTTCAGGCGAATGAATTTCTTAATTTTTCCATTTGACCTTAAAATACTTTTCCATTTTTACTGGATCGCATAGCTTTACTCTTTCCTACTATTCCTTTTACTTTACTCTTTTTACTTTAGGATATTAAAGAATATACAAAGTTAAAATTATATGTGAAAATTTGTAACCACTGATTTATACTAACTAATTTGTTTAATTCTAGTTGATAAATGAATTTTTATATTCAATTTATTCGCTGGGTGATTGTCATAAATGAATGAAATTGATTTCTTCATATATGAATGAATTTCAGGAAATTAATTCATCATCATTATAGAATCATACAATCAATAAATCAATCAATAATAAATATTAATTTTTAATTTGATTTAAAATTTGCTCTACTGCAATATATTTTACATTGAAAAATTAGTAACAATAAAAGTTATTTTTGCAAATTGCTGCATTTCTGCAATGCAATCAATTTGAAGATTGCATTTTCAGTCATTCAAAATGAGTGATTGACTAGCATATAAGTAAGCAATGTTGTTTTCACATATATAACTTTTAATTTTAGCATGTGATTAACTAAAAAATTTGATAGGTCAATGATCGATGATCTCTACTGGATAACTTTACTTTTCTTTTTGCATGTCACATATGTCACAGAACTCTTCGAGAAAAAACACTAATGCAAGAAATAATGCGCCCATTGATACTTTTGCAAATATTATTTCATAAATGAAATTTTGAATAATTATTTGAAGAAATTTAATTTAATCCCAACGACATACTTTATAATTAACCAAATGATTCTAAAAATTGTTTGCGTGTTTTATAAATTAAAAATGAGACTGAAAATAAAAGTTAATTAATCTGATTGCGCTAAAAATAAGTCGCTAGAAAGTTTTTGCATTAAATGGTAATATTTTTTTTTTTTTTAAATTTTTACAGCAAATTGTTTTTTTTTTTTTTTTTTTTAGATTAGAACAAAATAATTTTTCATTTCTGCTTTGCTTTCTTATTTTAAGTAATTAATTACTCAATTCAAACAATTTTGCAACCACTAATTTTCTAACTAAGTATTCTGTCTGTCATTGAAAAAAAAAACAAGTTTGAGGAAAGAATTATTTTAGTTTCTTGAAATTTTGAAATTTTACAAATATTTTAAAACATAGTTTGGTTTTATTCACAAAGTACTTCGACAATTCATCATCGAGAAATATGACGAAAGGACATGGAACAATGTTCTGTGAGTTTTGATAAAATTCATTTTTAAAGTTTTGTTATTGAATTTAACAAATTTCTTGTTTTTTTTTTTTAATCAAAATTTATCAAATATTAAATTCCAACATTATTTTGCTTTTTCTCCAAATTACAATATTTGAAGACTTTTTGAATTTAAATAAAAATCCATTTTCAAAGAAATATATGATTGAGTGAGAAGTTCTTCAAAAAAGTTAAACAAATTTCTTATCAATTAAATTTGTGTCATATTGAAATGTTAAAATTTATTTTTGTAGTGATAAAGTTGGCTTAAAAGATGATGACATTATCGAACACTATCATTACTGTGATGAATATACTTTTAGCTTAATCACTGGAATTGTTGCATTTACTGGTAAGATTTGGAAATTTGGAAAGATTTCAAGAATTTTTCAATCAAAAATGTATCGTTTTTTTTTTTTTTTTTTTTTTGTTCTACATATATTCTAAAATTAGAATTTTATCAAAAAAATAAAAATAAAAGAAAATTTTAAAGCTTTGCCTAATTGTTTTAAACTAATTTTTACTTGGAATATTTCATTTTAATTTTAAATTAACATCAAAAATTAAATAAAAGAAATTTTTTTTTTTTTTTTCGACAAATATTAGCTGAAGCTTATCAGATTACTTTAAATGATAAAAAATCAAATAACATTTTGTTGATTTTAAAATATCATAATTATTGCCTTTGAAGGTCTTACATATGACAAATTTTGGGAAAATTTGGGCGACTTTTATATCGACTATCTCTGTGACAATGGATGGGACAATTTACTACGATCAATGAGTCCTGATTTTATGGTATGTGTTCCTTCCAATAAATTATTTATTCTCTATTAAATTCCTTAAATAAGCTTACAGTATAATTTTTTTAGATGAAAGATTCATTTCAGATTTGTAAATTTTTTCTCGAGATTTCTTAGTGAAAATTGTTTGAGATATTATTAGATGCCAGTTGCAGTTATCCTTAATTTTCCATACTTTT